AGGAATCTTTCTTTCTTTGTTAATGCAGCAGAGCATTGTAAGTACGATACATTTCTGCAATCTGATTTTTTTTTTTACAGTGAGGGAGGATACCTTCAAGTCACTGTTAACTCCTGGATTAGTTCCTGCAGTTTTCCTGGCCAGAGTTTTTAGAACTAGTATTGCCTCCTTCCCAGGACTGAGAAAGTGTGATTGGCCCAAAGTCACCCAAGTAACTTTGTGCATAAGGCAGGACTGAAAACTCATAGTGTTCCAGTTTCTAGCTTAGTACCTTAACCACTACTCTAATTTGGCTCTCTAATCTGAAATTATGCATCATGTGCTAGTACCTCCTGATTCTTGCCCACAAAACATGCTTTCCAGCAAGATATCCAATGACTCCTAACTGAAAAGTTTCATTTGTGATGGCTTTAACTCAGTGGTGAAATTCAATTTTTTTTAACTACCGGTTCTGTGGGCGTGGCTTGGTGGGCGTGGTGTGACATGGTGGAAGTGGCTTGGTGGGCATGGCAGGGGAAGGATACTGCAAAATCTCCATTCCCACTCCACTCCAGAGGAAGGATACTACAAAATCTCCATTCCCATCCCACTCTGGGGCCAGCCAGAGGTGATATTTGCCAGTTCTCCGGACTACTCAAAATTTCCGCTACCGGTTCTCTGAACTGCTAAAAATTTCCTCAAATCTTGTTTATATACTTCCTCAAACACTTGCTGAAATCATTCTCTTCGTGAAACCTTGAATACCATTAAGCTCCTGCCAAGACTTAATACATGCCTTGGTTTTGTTCCTTAGGTAGGGCAGTTCAAGAGGCAAGGGGAAAGGAATCTTGGTTAATTAAGCTTCTGATGGGTAATAACATTCTTCAGACATGAGTTCCACAAGAGTTTTTTAAACTGTGCTCCATGGACTCTAAAGTTGGGGGGGGGTCTCTGAGAGACTAACAGCAAAGAATAAACATTAAATGCAGCCAATTTTCTATTCCTATAACTATAGCCCTCTTGATCAAGGATTGTGGGAATTATTTTTAATGTGAAAAACTTTGGCAGCCTTTATTAAACCTCACTAAGCCTCATTTCTTCAAAATGTACTGAATAGGAACTGTATTTATTATAAAAGGTTGTATAAATTGTAAATTGTATAAGTTATAAAAGGTTTATGCTGTTTATTGGAAAAGTTATTGGACCCCTCTGGGGAAGGATGGCTAATTATGTTGAGGGAGTATGCCTCAATGTCTAGAATCACTTCATAGTTAAATAGTAAATATGTAGAATTTATTTTGAAATTATTTTAGCCTACAATACTTTCAAATACATGGATTTGTGCCACATCCAAAATTGGGATTTTAGAATTTATATTCTAATTTGACACATTACCTAGATATAATTTATTGTAGTTCTTAAGGTATTGTTTGTGAGCTATAGTCTTTCTCTTTGTTTTTTCAGTGACTTCAACTGTGTTAACTAAGTACCTTTAAAATTTAATAAAGATATTTTGACTAGCAAATGGGTAGGGACTATCTTGTAGTATTATACGCTATAGGTAAACTATAGTAATCGTATGATATTTATATATGATGGCTATCTACCTGCATTCTACTGTTTAAAATTGATTCGTATCTATTTTATCTACTTTAAATTTTGTGTTTATGTTAGCTTTTTCTTTAGTTTTTTAAATAAGAATAAAAAGAGTTGTGACAAGGAAAGGTTTTACATGGCTTGTACATTAAAAGAAAAAAGGAAACCTCAGGAGGCAAAGCAGATAACAAGACCTGGCAATGGATAACAGCAGGAAAATTGAAAAAAGAGAAACAGAGAGGCTAATTCTGACCACACAAGACCAAACCTTAAAAATGAATGCATACAAGCTAGAATTTAGAAGACAGCAAGAGACAGAAAATGCCTCTTCTACAAAGAAGCTGAAGAAACAGAAAACCTCCTAGGTAACTACTGCAATGTCACACAAATTAGTAACAAAGAAAGGCATGAAAATAGTTGCTAGAATGGTGCATTGGAATATCTGCAAGAAATACTACTTGTCTGAAAGCAAGAACAATGGTAGCACAAAGTAGACAAAGTAATAGAAAATGAAGAAACTAAAATGTTCTGGGACTTTAGATCTGAAAGAGACAAGCATCTCCCAAACAACACACTGGACTTAACAATTGTGGATAAGAATAATAAAACTGTCTGGACAGGGGTGAAATCTACTTATCTTCCCTACCGGTTCAGAAGTGTGCATGCCCGCACACATCATGTGCAATTTTGGACCCTCTGTGCATGTGCAGTCTTTTGCGCATGCGCAGAGGGTTAAAAACAGGTTACTTCCTGGTTAAAACCAGGAAGTAACGATGTCTGGGCAGGTGGGCAGAGCCTCACGCTGCTGCCGCTACTGGTTCTCTGAACGACCCACTGCCGCTACTGGTTCGGCCGAACTGGTACGAATAGGTAGCATTTCACCCCTGTGTGTGGATAGTGTACATGGCATACCTGGAGACAATAAAATAAAAGAGAAAGAACTGGAGAAATTCACAAAATATGAAGAACTGCAAATAAAAGTAGAACTATGGTAAAAGAAAACAAAGCTAGTCATAGTAGTAGATGCTTTGGCTGCAATTCCAAAACATCTGAAGCACCACTTGAACTTCATTAGCATTGCCAAAATCATCATTACTCAATTGCAAAAGGCAGCTTTACTTGGAACAGTTTACATCCTAGGACAATACCTTTAACATTATTCAACAACCTCTGCCTTAGGTCAAGGTCTTTAGGAAAGACTCAATAGGTAGACAAAAATGCTAAATTCAGTTTAAACATCTGGCTGACTGTGTAATGAACCATAATAGGGAAAAAATGGAAAAGTGAATCTACATCAAAGATCAATGGCATAGCACTCACAGGCAACATACTATCTGCTACTGAATGTTTCTAGAAGTCATTCAGGAAATTCCAAATTCTATGTGTCTAGATTTAGATAGATATTTATCTATCCAAACGCTGCAAAATTTCTGTGAGAAAACAGGAGATTTTGTAAAAAGTTCACAACTTTTCAAAAGGTGTTTTAGCCACCCACAATTTTATGTGAAATCACATAATGGTGCCTATCTTGCAAAGCGACTCTGATTCTCTGAACTGTACTGTCTAGTCATCCAATTAACAAGCATCATTCATCCCTGCTTCTTTCATGAGTTCACTGTCTAAAAGGGTTCCCAAAATAAAAAGAGACCATGAGATTGCTCAACCATGTCCCATTCATTAAGATAGTAAGATTGCAAGCAACACTGGGTAAGTAGAAGGAGAGGCTGGGGCATCCCAGAGCAGATAAGGACAGCAGGGTTGTGAATGATGCCAATTTGTTCTGGACAGCAGCTTAACTTTGCACATGCCAATGAGTCTTCAACTCCAATCCCTGTGCTCTCAATGACTCATTTGCTTATAAGGAAAAGTAATCAAGACCAGTAGTTACAAATCTGCATGGGAAATAGTAAGCATAATTTCTCACAGCTGCCACATCTCTTCTGCACATTTAAATCTGAGGCATCCTGTTAGTTTCACACTTTTAAAAAAAGGCTTAAGGCTTGGCTAAATGTAATGCTAAACAAGATTTCCTACTGAGACAACAAAACTCCACAGGGGAATACTGTTTGCCCACACTGATTTCTCAGTATATTTGATTACTATAACAAAACAAACACTACAGTTGCCTCTTGTGGGAAGCCTTCACTGGTATTTATTGGAGAATAGCATATTCTTCCACAGTCATTTATGAAAACCCTTTCAAATCTATTTAGTTTGGGGACCAAATCCATTCATTTGGAAACTACTTGCTGCAGTGGCTTCCATGGGATCTCTCTGCTTTCTTTAGAATGAAGAAAGCAGAATCACAGCAACATGACACTTGTGAAGTTGTGACACAGGTAGAAAAGGATTGGGATTTGTTCTGTGATCCTGTGATACCTCCTTTACTCATTGTGATCCCCACCCCTACCCCCATCTCCAATGCTGCTGTTCTTCCGCATTTCAAATTGTGTGATCTGATTTCATGTCTAAAGGATTCATTAAAACACATTTTCTTCTTATCTGTTAAAATTTGCCAGCAAGCTACACTTTTATGCTTAGACCAAGTCTGCCAGATTTCTTGCATTTCAATGTAGGGGTTTCTGAGTCTGTAACATGCTAATTTTGAGAAAGTTTATAGCATTTACAGTGATAGTAGCCCTAGCTACTAGTGGGAAGAAATTGTGCCAAATTTCAGACAAGTTGTGCAAAGACAAGAAGGATTTGCAAAGAATAAGGGTACATTTTCTGAATGTGGTGAAACTGATTGTCAGAACTAAAAATACACATCACCATATGCGCAGAAGAATCCAAAAAAATTGAAATGTTTCTTGGGTGCAGTTAGAAAAATAATTAAATGCCTGTAACATGTAACACAATTAGTTCATGAACTCCTAAGAAAATCCCCAAGAGATTTATGTTTCTATCCAAGATGTTTTTTTCACTAAACATAAGCATACTTTTAATTTGTTTGATTGATTGATATAGCAGCAATCTCACATACATGGCTCTGGATGGCTTACCATAAAATAAATAAATAACAAATATAATATACAATATGAAATAAATAGCAGCTGAGCACCATAAAGTAATTATCAACAAAACTGGCATGTTCTAGCACACTTCTCAGGCTCATCTCAGAGTCACCTGAATCAAAAATACACACATGCGCACACACAAACACACATATATCAGGTGACTCTGAGGGCAAATTTATAAACCCCCAAGTGGCCTCAAGAGCTCTTAGGGAGAGTGCTAACTTCAAAGAAATACAATCCTCTCATTCCCCCCCCCATCCTGTTAGAACCTATCCTTCTACCCTCCTACACCATCCAGTCTTCCCCCCACCATCCAGTCTCAACTGTCAACTGTCAATACCTAGCCTTCCATCCCACCCACCATCCAGTCTCAACTGTCAACTGTCAATATATAGCCTTCCATTCCTCCCCCCACCCCACAATCACAACTGACAAAGCTTCTTGGATGAGAAGCAAAACGTTTTGTTCTTCTTCCTTAAGGGAAGTGGGGGAGGGGGAGAAACCAGCCTGGTTGCCTTTTGAAAAAGCGTTTTGGAGAAAACAGCAAGGGAAAAAATGCAACAGAGACTCTGGTTTCTTCTTTGTGCCCGAGTTCACTGTTTCACTGGTCTTTGACCTAATAGAAACAGGAAAAGGAGTCACAACTTTTGCTGACCCCACTTGTGACCGATATCTTGCCAGAGTTATGAAACTGGCACTAAATGCTACTTTATGTTCAATGTACAAGGCATGTCAGTAAGAAAAACCCCGTTCAAATGTAGGAAGGGAACAACTAACAGGGATGAAAAGAGTTGTGCTGTAAACTGTCAGAAAAATGTTCCTCTGTCCTCATGCCACGGCTAATGGGGTTGATTCAAATCTCCCAGATCAAAAAAACATCCATGTTTCAATGAACTGGCCTCTTTTTCTGCCCAAAGCACAACAAGCCCTGGAAAGTACTGCCTAGACACTGAAGGACATACAGTAATATATCTCCATGGCTACCTAAAGCGGTGATTATGATAACACACGATGACAACAATAATGAAATGGTCAGTGAAATAAGGTGCTCTGAGCATTGAACCCTCAGTGCTTGTCAGGCTCAAGCAACTGGAGCCACTGGTAAACTGCCAGGTAAGCAACTTTATTATTTTCCACCAAAATTACAAGAATCTTCTCTGACTGCTTGACATCCCTTGAGAACAACCAGATAAGCCTTCATGGATCTTGAGGAAGATCAAAATTTTATGCCTTTTGTGGCTGCCCAATAATTCCAAGCTGGTTTGTCCCCTTGTCCTCTTCTTCCAGCCTAGCTGGTAGTTTCCCAACAGCACTTAGCTTGATGCTTGCTTAAAGGCAGGTGGGAGGGGTAGAGAATAATTTCACATCAAAACAGGCAGGAATAACTTTAAGCTGTCTCAGGTATGAGTTGAGGATGAAGTGACAAAATAAAAAAAGGTGTCAGGTCATGTCTATACCAAGTTAGATGCAGGTAAGACAAGGCATTTCACTCATATAGGCATTTATAAAAGGTACTAAATTCCATTGTTGTTTTTTGCCCAGATCAAGCTTAGCCTGATTTTTTGCCCGCTTTTCCCCATTTATTCTCCCTCTTTAAATACGTCCTGGAGAAATCATCCCGTTTATTTTTCTAAGCTGTCAGCGGTGATAGAGATATAAATGGGGAGGACACCATAAGCATGAAAGGACAGGCGACACATTAGCTGCAATATGAACTGTCCAATTAAGGTGATCTAAATGGGGAGGAAACAACACCCCACACAGTAGCATTTATTTAATTGATTCACAAAATGGTTTGAATCTGATTTATTCGACTCTTGGAGCTAGACTCTATGCTGGTGCATTTCAGTGTCGCAAAAGCAGAAAGCACCATAGAAAAATTAAGAGAAAAAATAAATCTAATGGGTCAGGTAGGAATTCAGAGATCTTAACTTCCTTGTCAGGCAGGAGCTCCTGATACAACCTACTATTTTGCCTTTATCAAAATGATTCCTGCAGATTTTGCAGACTAACATGTCCATTCTTTCTTACTTTGGCTGATGGGACTTGTGTTCCAATTTTTCTAGGGAGCAACCAATGTGGGAAAGGTTCCTTATGAGGGCAAACAGCTTCACAGGCTTTTTCATTGCTTAACAGTCTGAACTGGAAGATACACTTTACATATATAAAATCTGTGCCATAGAGAAAACTGTTTTTTTTTCCCTTTAGCTACTGTGCAAAAGCATAATACGATCAATGAAAACAGCAAGGATAACATCAATGTTCTATGTATTAAAAACAACAACAAAAAACAAGAACAGCTGTGTTCCAAAGAGCTTACAATTTAAAAGTTTAAAAAAAACCACAGGAAAGGGGAAAGAAACCAACAACTGAGAAGAGGGGGGAAAATGTATTGGCATGGGATGGGAGGAGTGAAGACAGAAATTGTTCACCCCAGGTGCAGGCAATAATGAGGGTGCTACCAAAATACATGAGGGACTAATGATGGGTGTGGAATTACATCGCTGTTGCACGACTTCTAAGCAGCTGTTTGGTGATTGTCATCAGCACAGCAGCAACACAGGAAAAAAGTGTGTCCCCCTCAAGTCAGTTTTGCCTCCTGGTGCCTATCCCCTGCAGTTTTCTTGGCAGCATTTGTACTGAAAAAGCTTGTCAATTCTTCTGAGAAAAGTGACTGATCCAAAAATCACCCAGTTGGTTTTGTGACTAAGGCAGTCTCCCAGTTTCTGATGTTTGTACATCAAATATCAAACTGACTCTCAGCAATGAAGGAGGGGGAGATTAAAAATGATCAGCTCTGGCTATCAAATAGACTAGGTATATCACTGAGGCAAATGTGCTTGTTTATGTCTAGTACAAGTCTTGACATTTGGATTTTCTACCTTTTAGAAGAAAATCCTAAGCATGCCATCATCAAGAAAAAAAATGGATCATGTTATCAGAAAGTGCAGGAGAGCTCTAGTCAACTGAGCAACGATGAATCAAACGAACACAACCCAGAACTGCAGATATTCAAGATAATAAAGGTAGATGATACAATATTTATCTGATTGTTAGATCTGTGCCTTTCTTTCTTCCAGAAGTTTAAAGTGTCTTACAGGATGTTCTGTTTTTATTTCGGTTTGATGACAGCAATCCTATGAAGTTTGTTTGGATTTTCCTAACTCAAATGGAATCTGAGAGTTTCTATGGTTGAAGATATGCTTGAACCCATGTCTCCCCAATTTTATCCAACACACTATTTTATCCACACACGATATTTATTTGTTGGGTGGTATCTCACTTTTCTGCAGTAGTTCAAGTTAGTGTAAAAACACTCTCAATATAAGCTTATAAGGCAGTGCTCCTGAAAACAGCCCTAAATTGTACTAATTTCCAATCAGTTTATTCATGGGGAATCTGTAGAAATACACAGAATATTACCATTATTTCTGCATGCTTTGATAGACTACAACTTTCATTAATCTATTAGTGAGAAGCTAATACAGGTAGTCCTTGCCTTGCAACAGTTCCTTTAGTGATCGTTTAAAGTTCCAACATCACTGAACAAGTGACATGACTGTTTTTCACACTGACAACCATTGCATCAAACCAATGGTCACATAATCAAAATTCAGATGCTTGGCAACTGATTCATATTTAGGACAGTTGCAGTGTCCCAGGGTCATGTTTTTTGCGACCTTCTGACAAGCAAAATCAGTGGGAAAACCAGATTCACTTAACAACCATGTGATTAGCTTAACAAGTGCGGCAATTCACTTAACAACTGTGGCACGAAAAATCATAAACTGGAGCAAAATTCACTTAGCAACTGTCTCAGCTACAAAAACGTTGGGCTCAATTACAGTCATAAGTCGAGGACTACCTGTATATTCAGTGGGAATAGAATTAGCATAAAAATATCACCTTGCAGCAAAATACTATGCATATCTTCTCAGAGTAAAACCAAATGTGTTCAATACGGCTTAGGTTCGGGACATAGAGTTACAGTAACGATGAGGTTTTCTGAAACATTAGGAATGCAGGTAGTCCTCAACTTAGAACCAATTTTTAGCAACTGTTCAAAGATACAGCAGCGCTAAAAAGAAAGTGACACATGACTGGTCCCTGCACTTTCAAATGTTGCAGAATTCCCCCCCTCCAGTCATGTGTTCAAAATTTGGGTGCTGGGCAACTAGCATATATTTAAAATAGCTGCAGCTCCCAAGATCATGTGATTGCCATTTGTGACCTTCACAGCTGACTTCTGACAAGGAAAGTCAACGGGGGAAGCTGGTTTTGCTTAAATATCGTGCAATTCACTTAACAACAGAAATGATTCCCTTAACAATTGCGGCCACGACTCATTTAACTACCTTGTTTAGCAACTGAAATATTGATGCCAATTGTGGTCATAAGTCAAGGATTTCAAGATAAATGTATTACTTTTGCTCTTTAAATGATCCATATTTACTTGTTTAGTGATTAGCAGTTGCATTATTATTATTAAATATCGAGAGGAAAACACTTTAATAAACCAAAATACTGCTTCTTTTAAACATTGCAGTATTTATAAATCCACAGAGTGCGCCAAGAGAACTTATTCAAATCCTCTGTATGTATTTGCACACCATCATGGCAGAATTCAGCTAACAGCTGGATGTTTTTTCCTTCGATTAATTGATTTTTTAACCTTTATAAATTATGAAAAAAAAGAGCAATACTGAGTCATGTGATTGTGATGAAAAAGAAATTTCATTCCACAGTGAGGATGGATGGGATCTAATTAAGCACTGCACTAAATGGATATTATCTGATGCATTTTTACCCATTAAGTGAAAAGTTATTGCTAGTTTCTTTATTAGATATGTTCACATCTTACAGCTCAGTGGACTTGAAAATGTATTGTATCAAGAGAAAAAGGAAAAAAAAACCATCACTTTTTCAAGAAAGTATCGTGTAATTTATGTACACAACTTTTTCATTGAGTCTTTGGGAATATTCACTTTATTATTAGCTTTCACTAATGACAAATGTATTTGAATTTGTTGTGGGAGTATATGTGAGGTTTGCTGCACTTTAAGGCTTTGTAGATACTAACCAGCTGTTTTAAGAACCCAGTTTGGAGTTATAAAAATAGTTCATTGGCTAAGTTTATCTGAGACACACTAATTTGATCCGATAACCATATAAGGAGCAATTATAAAAAAAATAACCCATAGAACAGACCAGTCTAATAGAAGAAATAGAAATGGCTGTTTTAATAAAATCACCCATTAGATGATAAAAAAAAGGGTATCTACTGTATTTTTTGGACTATAAGATGCACAAGTATGAAACGCAACAAGATTTTGAAGAGGAAAACAAGAAAAAAAATTGTTTTTGCCCTCCCTGGCTCCCAGGAGCACTCTGCAGGCCTCCCAAACCCTCTGCATGTCCTGTTCTTGCGAAAAGTGGGTCCATTTTTGGCCTCCCAAATCCCCATGTCCCGTTTTTGCCCTCCCTGTCCCCCAGGAGCACTCTGCAAGCCTCCCAAACCCTCTGGGCATCCTGTTTTTGTGAAAAATGGCCCTTGTTGGATCCTTATCCTACAGTTGGGTAGATAATATGTACTGTTACTTTAACTGCTACAAGATGACTAATTGATTAAGTGATTAAAACAGAAATAAAAGGAAGGCAGGAAGCTCATTCACTCCTTCTCACTCCTGCTCATGATAGTACTGCTAGAGATACTGTGTCGGTGTTACGGAACTAGAACTGTAAGCAAACTTTGTTTTGTATTGAAAGTGTTATCTTTGTTTATGAGAAGCCAAGTTTTGTTTGTTTTACAACAAGTAAAGACTATTTTTCTAACAACGTTCAGAGTCTGAGAGTATCTGTGTTGCAACGCTGTCTGGTCCGTCGCTCTACTCTGCAGAAGGCAGTTTACCCTCAACAGCCCTGTTTTTCACAAAAACAGGATGTGCAAGGGGGGGGGGTTCAGGAGGCCAAAAATGGCTGTATTCAGTCTATAAAACACACTGACATTTCCACCCTCTTTTGGGGTGGGGGGGAATGTGTCTTATACTCTGAAAAGTACGGTAATTACAAAAATATTTAAAAATGTGAAATTCCATATGACATATCACAGCTTTCGGGCTATAATTTTTAAAACCCTAAATTTTATTTTCTGTTTTTTTTTTTTTCTTAAGTACGTACATAATGTTTTTCTTCTGATACAGCATGTGATACAATTTACCCTCCAGGGAAAACCTCCCATGTCATGCCTGCAGGTTGATTATTTTGAGAATGGGGGAAAATGCAGAATTTTGATAGAAAATGTTGACACTCTTTCCTGAATGATATGGAACTGATTGTAAAAGATTGAGGAAATCTACCAAGTTAGCTCAGAGATCTTTTCCATAAAAACACATCAATCACTACATTGGGTCAGTGAGCTAACAGCTCAAAAAATACTGACAAACTGATGACAGGAGAAGAAACAAATAGTAATATTCTGAATCGTTCTCAGTCTCCAAGTTCTTATTCCACCCCTATTTTTAGTCTCACTTCCTAATTGGGACATCCATAAGTGGCCTAATTTAAAGAGAAATACATTGGGCCCTGGGTTCTATGTTTCTTTATTGTTCCATTTTCCCACCATGGTCATTGATATAAAGTTTTAAAGGTTGGTTTTTGTAGTGTAGCTGCTTTCCACTACTTTGATGGTACAGTGGAAAGGTCACTAACAAATAGATTTGGGTTGGAGTTTAAATTTAAGATTCTTATTATTGTTTTAATGTTTTATAGTGCATTTTATTCAATGTCTGTAAGCCAGTTAGAGTTGCTTTTGGGGAGAGGGATGACATACAAGTTAGTTCAATAAAATAAAGACTTGCTTATTGCTTGAGAATCCTTCAAGGAAATGAAAATATGTTCCAAATTGTTGGTTGCCCCAAAGTTGCTTTTCAGTTCTTCAGGAACTGAAGAAGCTTCTTGAATGAGAAGCAAAACATTTTCAAGGGAAAAAAACCCAAGGAAGTCCAGTTGCATTTTGGAAAGCACCTTTGGGTCTGCTCCAAATTATTCCACCTGCCTTGGGAACTGGGCTTCAGCCAGATTCAATATACATTCTTACTATATATTGAAATAATGTAGAAATAAAACATACAATTTAGGACTATGCTGCACTTCAGATTAAAAGGGGGAAAGGTACTTTAGAGTATATATGAGTGCACATGTAACACTTATTGACAACTCCTTAACGCAAGCACAGATTTTTCTATGATGTGATGCAGCTGTATAGGACAAAAGCCCAATCCTAGGGAAAGACTTATAAGTTTTAGGAGTTGTTATAGAAATATAACAAAATTTAAATACAGAAGATAATATATTACACAAGGCTGTTTGTGAAGCAAATTGCATGCTAAAGAAAAAGATAAAAAGATAAGATCAGATTTGAAACATAAATGATACAAATGGAAATTTTATTAAATTATCTAGATGAAAGTATTATTTTCCTAGATCCAGGACTCTTTGGCATTTGATCTACATATTTGTTGAGATTTTATAATCCTAATATATCCAATACAATGTGAAATACTTGACATTATTTGAGAGACCAGTGCATTTTCTAAAATTATGTCAGTAACTTGATAGAAATCCAGTTATGAGGATAATTACAGTTAGAATTAGTGATCTGGCTCATTCCTTTTCTCATCTATTCTCTCTGTAGATGTTACATACTTAAAAAAAGAAGAAGAAGAATTGACTCAGATTGACTCAAAACCTCTTAGCTGAAACTGAGAAAAAAAATACTGCTCAGAGTTACTGCATCTGCAGAAATCCAATTTTGGAGAACATAAAGGTGCTTCTGTAAACTGGAGATAATGGGGAACATTAGTATTCCTGCAAGAGATTGGACATCGGTTCCCTTTTTAAGGATACTTTGGACATTTTGTGGATCAATCAAGAGAGGGAAGGCAATGGGTCCTGGGTCCTTACCAAATGATGGAAGATGAACATTCACTTGGGCGATTAGGTAATTTTAGCCTCTAGAGTGTATAATTGTGTCATTCCGTCCTTTTAGACAGCAGTATCTGTTACTGGTAAATTTCTGAATCATTCCTGATGCAATTGGGAATCTTTTTGCTCATTCATTCTTCTGAGCAATGACTCAGAAGGTTTTGAGGATATTACTGCAAATCAATCCCTTCAAATAGGAGAAGATTATTATTTCTGTAGTTGAAGACAAACTTGGATTGGTGTTACACATTCAAAATCCTACAGATTAAAATTAGAGGTGGTATTCAGCTGGCTTGGACCGGTTCAGGTGAACCGGTAGCGGAAATCTTCATGGGTGCCCAGGCTGCCACCTGCCCAAGCTCTATATCGTCCTGTTTAGGCACGTTTTTGAGGCTGGGCACATGTTTGGAAGGTGATCTGTCCCCATCCACACACACACACAAACACAGCCAGCCGAGGGTTAAGGAAGCACTTGGCACACACCCAGGTCTTTATCTCCAACTTGGCAGCTATATACACACCGTCTGCCAAGTGCTTTATTTCCACAGAAACAGAAAGATAATATACTCAGCGTACAAGAGTCCAACAGAAAATAATATTCCTCTCAGCAGTTTCGGACGATACTTTAGTGACTATCCAAGGTTTATTTTTGTTCATCACAGGGATCACTGGCCACCACCCTCTATTATATAGTCTCTGGGGTGTGGTCCAGTGACTCAGTTCTAATCCCTAGCACGCCTCCTGAGCTGCTGCAATTGTTTATCACACCTTCGGTGGTGTGCGTCCAGGAATGATGTCTCTCCTTCACTCTCATCCGAGACACCTGTTTCCCAGCTAATCTCCTCTCCCTCGGCCGGCACCTGAGACAGTGCCAGAGGGGAGGGGCCTGGAGAGGGAGGCCTGGCTGACTCCTCTTCCTCATGCTTGGAGCTTTCTTCCTCCGATGGGATAGGCTCAGAGGGCGGGGCCACAACAGAAGGCACATGTGCGAGCAAAGCTCGTGCACGGAGGACCGGGCACGTGTGCGGAAGGCGGGCATGTGCGCGGACCAGGCATGCACGTGTGAACTGGGTGTGCGCGTGCATGGTGAACTGGTAGTAACAAAATGTGAAACCAGCCATTGATTAAGATGATACAAATACTCAGAAACCGAGCCTTAGGTTTTATGGTGCATGCAAGCACAGACTTGTCCCCTACCCCTAACTTTGCTTGATCCAGTGGACAAGAAGGGAATTTGTCGGTAACAGCTTCTTTGAATTCTTGTAAGATCATATTTGTGCTATCAATCATAGCATCTTGCTGTCTTCTGCTAGCCTCTCTTAGTACTGCCTTGATTTTTCTTAGCAGCAAGAGTACTATTCTTTCCAATTTATTATAACAATCACATTTTTAAGCCTTTCATGCAACCCTAAAAGAGAAGATTTGTGTTTGAAGTTGTCTTAACTTGAATGGGTGGATTCTTTGGAGCACCAATATATTTTTCCAGGCTTACTCAGAAGCCCAAAATAGCAGAAAGGTTCTGCCCTCATATGAGGTGTCGAACACTTATTCTGAATCGTTTTCTAATGGTGCACAGTCCTTCTACCATTGCTGTTAGAGCAGTAATTGAGAAAACATCTGAAACAACACAGCTGGTGACCAAAGATATTCTTGTCAATTGTAGATTCTTCAAGTTTTTTTGAAAGCTAGTATCTGCCCTGGTTATCAAACAGCAGCAAAGTTAGTACTATCTCCAAACCAAACTGGCAAATTCTAATTGGTGTTAATATTTAATTAAATTTTGCAGTGAGCATCAAGTTGCCACAATTAAGATCCGATAACTCTGGAGATGTGATCGTATCACAGTGTTTTTAGTCTGTTCACTAGGCTTGGATGTTAAATAAAGTACACAGAGTGTGTTATATGCAAGCTAAAAGGCAAGATAAATGCCCTGCTCTCTGCTATGATATTGATCAATGCTGCACTCCAAAATAGCATATGCATAAATATTAGATACTGAAAAAGTACTCTGTCATTGTACAGTAGAAGCATTTCATTTGCTGCAATAAATTGCTCACCTGACAGGCTGAAGATTCAGTCTTCAATTTACTGGGATTTTTATTTTTTAAAAAAATTTTCTTAACTTTTGTCTTGTCCTGGCTTTATGATAATTTATGCTTCTCTTTTATCTTGTTACAAAGAGGAGCTACAGTAAATTATTTCTACATTCCCTTTAGCCAATCATGGGGCCTGATTATTTGCAGTCTAATTATGGAATAATAAATGGGGAAGTAACAAATTTCCTCTTCCTCATTTATTCCTGTAATTAAATGGCAGAGTGTGCATCAATCAAGTAATCTATGCTATTAAGATTCACAAACTTTTGGGGAGAGGGAGATCACATTTTGCTTTGCTGGCAGGGGGCATCCATCAAGGTTTATAGCCACCTGTCAGATAATCAAAGAACACTAAATAGCTAATAATGACCTCCAGGTAGGATGGTAAATAATCAGCCAGCCAGTTTGCTAAGAGGTTTTCAGGAACCTGCCTGTTTTTGCATTAGCAGTATAAGCACATGGAGGTATGCAGTATTTGATAGATTTTGTTCAGTTGCCAACTGTCCCCAATCCATTTTATCTAGATTCTGAAAGCCCTCTGAAGCATAAACCAATTTCTAATGAAAAAGGAAAGAAAGAAATGTGATTAAAGCTAGAGTCGCCAAAACTCTATTGTAGCTGTGAGAACATTAGTTGAATTGTGTAACATACACACATTTTATATGTGATGGAATGAAGGCCCCGTTCAGCCCCCTCAATTTTTGTCAAAAGTGATGTTGATTTTATGATGAGGTTGATTTCTCTTGGAAATCTAGAGATCAGCTTCCAGCTGAAGAATTAAGTATGGAGTAGGTAGACAATCTAATTTGATGAAAAACAATCTGTCTCCATAATTCATCCAAATAGAATGTTGAATCATAGTGAAGCTCTTATTGCAATAAATTGATAATAAATAATTGTTTGGCAATGAATACTGACATCCTGACATTTTATTATGGTTGAGGAAGTTGTTATAGTTTGTGTAATAGAGACTTAGCTAGGGCAGACAGGTGGGCTGGCATAGTATTGGTGGAACCAGAGATAGATTGGGGATTGTGTTAGTGTATTACTTCTCTGATGCTTATTGGAATATGTGAGTAAGCTGACAGAGTTAATATTGAAAACCCTTAGTCTTATCGTACTGAGGAACATCAATATCCAATTTGGGACTAGTTTGTGTGGAATGGCTCAAAGGTTTATAGCAGCTATTAAAACAATGAGCCAGTTTGTCATAAGACCAACACATCATGCAGTTCATCTGTATAATTTGGTATTTTGTTTTTATTAGGAAACACTATAATGGAACCTCAGTTTCCCCATTAGTATAGACAGATCACCTTCTGCATTAAGGATGGATTAGTGGCTATATTGCAGTTCTGAGGATGCAATGAAAAACAATGCACTGAAATTGATTCCAGACAAAATGGAGATGCTCTTTGGTAGGACTACAATGTTAGAAAATTATGGATATGCTGTTCTGAATACCATTACACTACAGTATGTAATTTGGGGGGCATTTCTTGACTGAAATTCTCTAGTCCCCCAATTGAGGCAATGACCACGATCACTTTAAATCAGCTTTTGTTGATATGCCAACTGCATGACCTTAACACTGTGGTAGGTATCTAATAAGAAACATAGGCCTAATCCCTTCCCGGTGTCACGTGGCCACTTTTGAGTAATTGTTTGCTATGAGAAAGATGTTGATCACCATATTCTTGTTACAATTCCACTTCTAGCCTGGAAACAGCTAGGTCTTGCCCTTTAGAAAACAACATATTACTAAGGAATTCAAAAGAAGGAAGGGAAGGAAATTCTCCACTTATCTGAATAAATCAGGACTGTGTTAGAGCTAAAAAATGGCATAGGTTGTACTGTATATGCCACTAACAACCTTACAGTCCATCATAGACAGTAAGTTTATTAACCCTTGTATAACAGAGTGCACAGACATCTACCCTTGACCATGGCATGAGGAATATGTTAGCTATATGAAGAATATGGCTGGCTTTGGCTACCTTCCATCTGTGACTTTTGGACAGATGGAAATATATATGTACTGTTGCATCTGAATATTTTGGCAGCTTTTCACACCATCAGCCATGGCATCCTTCTGAGCATCTGGGATTAATCTTTTGCTCTGTAAATCACTATTGTCATTGATCTGCATTGCTAATGAAGATTAGCCAAGACCAGGCAATTCTGGATTAGAATGACTGAAATGACCACCTTCAGAACATCAGCTCCAAATGATGCATTCAAATGCCTGATGACAATGTTGAGGTATTTCCAAGAACAGAGAATGTCAAAGACCTCAGTCAAATGAAGTGTGCAAAACTTTTGAAGTAATTATACAGCAAGTGCTTCTAAAGCCATCATTTTCTCCATTTTCACAGTAAGTGCATTTTAGAGTGCAGCTGGGTTAATGAGTGTTGAAGACAGCTTTAAAATTGGTCCAGAATTATAATGTTAATGAGGCAATGCTCACAATTTAATGAAATGCTTCAGTCATTTTCTATTGTCCACATTCTTCTTGTTGGCAATGCCCTCAGAATGGCCATGGCATGATTCCCATTTGCCAGGTTTTGTCAACCAAGAAAATTTTGTCTTTAAGGTTTGGAAATTCAAATTTCTTGCCGAAAAAGATAGAACTATCTGTTTGGCTTACTACTCATTCTGTTGCTATGGGACATTGGCCATTCCTTTGTCACATAGAAAATCAAACAACTGTTTTATCAGGTTCCCCTCTCCTCCAATACCTTCCTATCTGGATTTTTAAAACACAACTTTCTTTTCTGAAAGTTCTTTCTTTTCTGCATCCTATAATATCCAGGCATTTCCCCCTTGATAGCACCTGATGAAACATCTTTCAGAAAGAGTAGCCAATCTAATTCTCTCTGAAATACAAATTTCTGTCAGTTTTTTATGATACTTATATGTTTTAGTAAGAAAAAAAAAGAAGTCTGCTTCACTTTCTCTTTTATAATTGATCAGGCCATAAATCTTGCAAGTGAAGAAATCCAATAAACATAGTCTTGAAACATACACTTATTACTTGTATTCACTAGAATGTTTGATAGTCTCTTGATATTCACCAAAGTGAAATTTTCAAGGTACATTCTAATTCTAAGGGATGTGTGTACATTTTTGAACAGATCATCAACGAGAAGATAATACTAAAGAAAAGGCAAGTGATTCCCTCTTGCCAATTTTTTTCTTACCAGAAAGTCTTCTAGAGAAATCAGAGAAAGATTCGGACATATCTATTTTTTAAAAATATATATAATAAACTTTTTTGTTTGCTCTGGAAAAGTGGATGCCAACTGTTTCCTTTTGCACTTACTCTGTGCCATCGAAGAACCAGTCCCATTGCACTTATTCTGCTAAAAACCTGGGCTAATTTTTCTTTTGCATCCCTGTTTTTTGCTATGGGAAAAATGTTGGCTGGGAAATCAGTCAGCCTACAAAGTTTTGAAATGAAAACAAGCCCAAACTTTCAAGAACTGGAAATGAGAACAGTTCAATTCAGACATTCAAGTATATTTAAAGTTATCACTGCCCTTTTATTTTTTTACTGTTGTATTAATTATGCCTCTTCCCAGCAGACCGTGTTTGATAATAAACTGGCATCATCTCCAGGAATGAGGAGATGGCTTGCCTCATCATTTAAATGCAATAATCTAACCCAGACAAGCATTGGGAGAACAACACTCTGGAAATGGTACTGTGTCACGATCCATCATTAACCTTCTGAGCTGCTGCATTACTGAAACAGCCCTCTAAATGAATAGGTCACAATTGATTTGCAGGCTCTGAAATGTGTTAATGCTATAGAGACTTATATTCTATTAAAGTGCATGGAGGAAGTAGAAGAAAGAACAAAAACTAAGTACTCTCTATATAGACTATATAGATTTAGCAGTAGAAATAAATGTCTGTGTTTGACATTACAAAGTCATTTTAGAGAGATACTCCATAGAACCTGAATGCAGGATAAGAAGCAATGGGCGGAACCTTGTCAGAGGAAGATCCAACCTGAAAATAAGGAGGAATTTCCCAACAGTGAGAATGATTAATCAATGGAACAGTTTGCCTCATGGAGTTGTCAGTGTGCCATCACTGGAGGTTTTAAGGAAAAGATTCAACAACCATTTGTCCAGAATGGTACAGGTAGCCCTTGACTTACAATAGTTTGTTTAATAACCATTCAAAGTTACAACAGCCCTGAAAAAAAGTGATTTATGGCATTTTTCACACTTATGTCTGTGGTAGCATCCCCATGGTCAGGTGATTTACATTCGGATGCTTGACAACTGACTCACATTTATGACAGTTGTCCTGAGGTTATGTGATCACTATTTGCGACCTTCTGACAAGCCAAATCAATGGGGAAACCAGATTCATTCAACGTAGTGGTATAGTCATGTAGTGATTCACTTAAGTGCGTTTTGCCCCATTTTACAACTTTTATTAACAAATTTCTCACTTAGCAACATAACTTTTGGGTTCAATTGTGGTCAGAAGTTGAGGACTACCTGTATAAAGTCTTCTGTCTTGGGCAGGGGGTTGGACTTGAAGGCCTCCAAGTTCTCTTCCAGCCCTGTGATTCTATGATAACATATATATTTCCTAAGGGAGGATGATATTCTGATTATATAAATACCACTTTCAATTTAGAGTTACTGTTGATTACCTATTACTGTTTTGATTCCCCCTCCTCCTCCTCCTCCTCAAGGAATGTACTTTTTCCTGATTTAGAATATATATCTTCCCTGGTAATCCCACCTAATTAAGAAAGTCACTATGGCAGCTTCTTTTTTATATTAAGTTTTCATGAAGTTCCTCATCTCATACCTGAAGCAGCATTGGGTCAGCCTTAGCTGTTCTGGAGTCAGAATTTTCCTTCTTAGCCTGACACTTCTCCCCCCCCCCCCTTTTTTTTTTTTTTTTTGCAGTGGATATAATTTGATATGCTTCACGACCCATTATGCTCAGGGGCCGTAGTCAGGTGACCCCTTGGAGGTTACAGAGAAAGTTTTCTATGCAAATATTTATCTTGGGAAAAGGGCAAATAAGAAAGTTAAAAAAAAAAAAGCCAGCTCTATCATGGAGCTCAGAAGAGGGCCTAAAAGTTAGTACAAATTAAAATAGCAACTTCTAAAGTGAAGGAACAATTAATGATAAATTAGGAGTGCCCTTCAGAGTAGACATCTAGAATTGAATTTAGGCAGGTTTAAAGATTAAGCTGTTTAATTGCTGCTTTAGGAATGCTGGATTTTGCATAAACGTGAATCCAGGTGTTAACACTGATTCTTCTCTGTTCCATTCCGATAGCAGGCCTCAATTTCAAACCCAATTAATAGGAAAGTTTCAAAGGCTTTGTCACAATTTCAAAAGCTTTAGTTTAATCAGAGAAAAGGCAGCAATCTGGGGATATTGCACAGTGCAGAAACTGAACAGTAGGTTTTCTTTCTTTCTTTTTTTAAGCATTGCTCTCAAGTGAGCTGTCCAAGGTTAACATTTCAGGCAACACTTATTTTCCTGCTATGTTTTAGGCGGTTTGATCTCCTCTTAGAAGGCTGGTATTGATACACTGCCAATGCTCATTGGAATGAATGAATGAATCTTCTAAACTCTTTGTGGTTTGGCTTGATTTATATTTCCTGAAGTTCACTTCTCACAATCAGGGGATTCCTCAAAAGCTTGTGACCCATTTTTGTTTGTTTGTTTACTTCACTGTTGCTTTCTTAGCAGAGGAGGATCAATTGTCTTGTTCTGCTTTTCTCCTCCATGTTTTTGCGAGTGCAGAGGAGAAGGTTCATGTGGAACAGTTTGAAAATGTGTCTTACAGCACTTTTATGCGGAACAATTGATTTCAGCCATGGGGTCATTCTGGATATATCAAGAATATTGACACAATAGGTCTAGCAAATAGCCAAGTTAAAGCTGAAGGCACCAAAAGATTAGTCTATAAAGAGTTTGAGGAGTAAGCTACGTTTTAGTTTATATCTAGGTCATTTATAGGTCACTCAAAATCAATTATACTTTGAACATGCTAGATTTCAGTCATCCTAAACCTCAGGTCTTTAATAGGGTTTAAAACAAAAGTCAAAACTACCTAGTTTTACCTACAGAGATTTGAGGGCAAGATTAAGAAACTCTGTCCACTACACCGACAGATTGTGTAATAAAAATTTTTGAATGTGCAGAAATGGACAAACTTACTATAGAATTAAATAATAAGGAAGACTAGGAATATTACTCAACTTGGGAAAACTGGTATCAATGGATAGAAAATAAAAATAGGAAATATATAGATCAAAATAAGACATAAATTGTGTTTACATATATTTGATCAAGAAGGAATATCTGAGAATATATGAATAGAGTTAAGATTTGTGTACTGTTAGAATGACATTGAATTGTACAACTATCATGGACATATTTTCATTACAGATATATTTGTATTTGTATTTCAATACTTTAAATTTTAATAAAGGTTTTTTTGAAAATTAAAAAAAAAGAAACTCTGTACAATGGCTAGGGAAAGGAGAAAAGTTTGGGGGAAAGGCTATTACTCTTCATATGCTCAAAGAGTAATTTGCATGTACAACTCTATATTCAATGGATGTGTATATACCATTAAAATAATATAAAGATTGGAGAGCATATAATATTTTGGAGAAGAATGGAGTTTCCTATGTGATGTTGTTCTTGCAGCTTGTGACCCCACCTCAAACAGCTCCTGAAATTTCTCTTTGAGGAAACAGATTTTCGGGGTTCACAGGAGGTTGCAAATAAACAGAGTTCTCTTCCAAAGTAGTACCGTGAAAGTTAGAACAGCAGCAAGCCACTCTATTGAACTTCAATAGAGTGTAACAAACAAGAACAGTAAGATTAATAGAATGAGAATATCCAGAGTGTTACTATAAAAAAGCCTCCTTTCAATCAATAGGGGAAAAAAATCATAATTGATTTATTTCCCTCCTTTTTCTCTTTCTCTTTCTCTTTCTTTTTTATACTTTTATTACATTAAAAATATTTTATATCTGTATTTGTACTTTTAGCTATCTACTACAAATTGTTCCCAATCTGCCTCAGACATCAACAGTATAAGAAATATGGAGGACAGCCCAATCAGAAACTTGATTGTAGCAGATAGAAAAGATGAATTAGATTTATGGTTGTGTTCAATACTCATTGTCTGTTGTATCCCATTGGCAGGCTATACAGGTAAGTAGGCATTCAGTCTGAAGTAAAAGAAAAATAAATGCTATGGAACTGAATTATAAGAGAACAATTTCAAAACTGTATAGGGCTCTGAAAAACTCTTATATCAAAATTTGTATATAAGATTGTCACTTTCAGAGAAAGATCACTGAACAAGTTAATGAACCATAACTATATCTGGAGCAGAATATATTAACTCTTTTAACTGAACAAATAACAGCTTAACCTAGAAAATAGAGCTTTTTATCTAGATATGAACCACAATATCTTCATAATATTATTTTCATAATATTACTTTTTTGGTAGGCAAGCTGCCTTAATGTTTTAGGGCACAGGTCCCATAATGGACCATCCTGATATGATGGCAGAACTAGAAATCAAAAGGTTTTGATAGGAAATATTTTACTTAACCAATTCAGTATGAAATCTTTTCCTATTAATCTATTAATTAGCTGTATATTCTAAATCTTAATAAAAGCTGTTTTGATCTAGTTCAGATACCAACCCTTGAAAGTACACAAAGTAAGGAAGCAGACATCACAAGAAGTGCTAAAATTCTACTTTATTGATATACAATACAGAAACTTGAAGGTTTGGCAACATGTCCTCTTCCCTCCATCTTAGAATAGAATAACAGAGTTGGAAGGGACCTTGGAGGTCTTCTAGTCCAACCCCCTGCCTAGGCAGGAAACCCTATACCACTTCAGACAAATGGTTATCCAACATCTTCATAAAAACTTCTAGTATTTTTATGTGTTCTTATAACAAAATGTTCTTATAGCAAAAAGCATCAAGGAAGAGCAATCTTCTTTCTCATGCCTTCCTCTTTTCCCAATCTAAGTTCATATTTCATTTCTAATGATTGTCTAATATTTTCTTCAGGACTACTTCCATATCCCTCTGCACCATACAATTACTTGCCAGTCACAGAAAAAGACACTATTTTAATTTCAAACACAGATTTTATTCCTTAGTAAACTAAATGATTACAAATAAATTTTCCTCAAACCAGTTAGGATGCAGTCCCTAACATAGAACTAATCAGCTAAAATTGGCTGAAGAAAATTGATGTGTTTTCTTAATGTGATGATTGAATGAGTTTCCTAGCTGAACAGAATGAACTTAGAGTTTGCCAACAATATTTACAACTCAAAACACCTATTTAGTCTAGATCAACTCATTTAGAAAAGTCCAAATTAACATTGTTTTGTCAGCTAATTCTAGAATGCCAGACCCAGACTCTGAACAGAAATAGTTATTACTATGCTTTTATAATATCAGGTTAGATGCTGTAATGTATTGTACATTGTGATGCTTTGGAGATCTGAGGTTTGGAGACCACATATTATTCAAACCACAACCGCTAGGCTACTTAGTGGGATCAGAAATTAAGAATAGATCACCATTGCTTCTGATCCATTTCCAGATACAAAGCTGAAAATCTATTTATGGCAGGAGCTTCTTTCCCTCCAGAAAGTAAATGCTATTCTGCAGAATCTCAGATAAAGGATTCTCCCCTATGGCAGGATTTATCTGATATTCTGCATTTATGATCACTAAATGAACATTAGGAAAATATGGAAACCACCTAATGAAATCACATTTTCAATTTTTAAAGACATAGGCATATTTTTCGGGGGGGGGGGGAACCAGTTATAGTTGCATTTGTGCATTTCTTTCCATCTCCTCCATTTTTAAAGTCCCTTTTGAACCAATTGTTTACTAATAAATTAATCCAAAATGATTTACTTGTCAAAATAATGTCATGTACCCCATGTGATTTAATAGCAGCTTTTAGTACAACTTTCATTGTAAAGATATTCAATAGCATTCCCTGAATACTATATCTTTTATATCAGTGAGCAGAATTGTGCAATTCCTATTCTTGTACCAGAAGACTGATATCCAACTTAAGGGAAGACAATATGAACTATAGGAGTACTATAATGTTAAAGAAGCTAACTGGTAATAAATATGGAGATATTGCAGTAGAGCTGGAAGGAGGCTGTGATTTCTTGACTGTCAGCGAATGTGGGGAGGCTTAATAGGTAGACCCTAGTTGATGAATGTAGGAAGATTGGGCCACTTGATCCCTTATCACAGACACAATTTGTGAATCACTACCCCATAGAGTTGGTCCTTCTTTCATTTTTCACATATTGGAAAGATAAGGTTTTCTTAGCTGTTGAATCCCTAGTGCATTTTACTCCACATAGTATGATCTGTTACTATATTGTGTTTCCTAATATGATACTGTCTTGGAAATGTTAAGAAGAGTCCACAGATGCTTTAACTGAATAATATGTGGTTAGACTTCATTGATTTTAAAATATTTTACAAACCTTTTCTTTGTCACATTTGGTTACTACATCTGCTTTTCTCCCATCCTTGATATATGACATACTTTATCGTGATTAATGAGACCCCGGAACATTGGTAATTTTCTGCAGTTGCATTCCTAGATTAGACAATATGTTCCCATTTTATATTATATCAGGTCTTCAGCTTCATACTCTTCTGATCACAAACAGAAAGACTTCCTGCCCTTTGAAGATACTGTCTGACTCTGAAAGGTCCAATTCTCTATTGTTAATCTTGCTTTAGAGTTGCTGGCAGAGAAGAGGACTGCATTTGATTTTATGGAGCTTTTTTTCCAAATAGCTGGTGGATAAAACGGGGGACAGTGCTTGATTGACCTTATCTGGGCTTCAAAGCTAAAGGCATCAAGCCTGGTTACTGCTTGGATAAGAAACTGCTTGGATAGGAAATCCCAAGGCTATAGGCTAGACAAGAAAGTCAGACAAAATATTGTGAGGCAATTTCAAGACATTTATATACTGTAGTCAAAAATACTGCATGAGTCACTTCCATGAAGTTACCAGGAACTGAGCTTCACATGAAGGACCTGTATATGAAAACCTAAATATGATCAGCTTTTGTTCAAGATGTTCCCAACTACGTTTGTTTTCTCTGCTTTATTTATTCCTTTTTGTTCTACATAGTTTGTGTTGTTTCTTTGTTTTTTAAAAAATTGTTTTTAACAATATATAAACCATTTGGAGTCACTTGGAGTGGTGCAGCATATACCGTACATTTAATAATTTGTCATTATTATGGATAGTTGATGACCCTGACATTTTGACAATATTTCTTCTTAGAAGGACATGTTTGCCCACATGTCATAAAAGGGTACTAATGTGCATGGAAAGTGGCTTTGCCGTACCATGAGCATGATAAGTACATATATCAAATTCTATTATGCTTTTGAAAAACGTTTCTATATTTGGAACTTTATGTAAACATTTCATTAAAGAGGACGCACTTCTATGAGATAATTGTGGTATATTAAAAAAAATAAAGAATTGCTAAAACAGTTATTTTCATATTCAAAACTACTCCCAGAACATTATAGATCAATAGGTTAGAAGTCAGTAACTGCAGGCAAAAAGTATTTGAATTATGTATGTGTAATATTCATAATTTCACTTTATTGCCACATTTTAAAATATGACCCAGTTAATACAATGTTTTTTCAGTTTTTGTTTGCTTTGTTTCTTTATAATGTCTTACAGTTAAGACATGTTTTAGGGGAGATGTATATCAAACTCAAGAGGTAACTAATTCCAATATGCTTCCAGAAATTTTGTGTTTCTAGAACTTAAGTTGATTTGGTAGATCATAGGATGTGTGCACACTGCATGCAGAAATTGCATGAATATGCACAATGTGCACAATAAAATATATACAAGTAGTCCTGATTTAATGTCTGCTCTGTTTAGCAACCAATCAAAGTGATGGTGCTTGAAAAAGTAATTTTACTACCAATCATTGCACTTATGATTGTCACTATATCCTATGATCACATGATTAGTGGCCATTAGTGCATTTCACAGCTAGCTTCCAAAAAGCAGAGTCAATGAACAAGCCAGCAATCATTGCAAGTTTTAGTCACATGACGTCTCCCTTAATCACTGTAGATGATTTGCTTAATGACTGTGGCAGAAGTAAATGGAAAGTACAAGGTTTTACATTCAGTCCACAGTTTCTGACATGGATTTCTACTATTCTGAAGCAAAAAAAATATATGTAATATAAGATTATATTGTATTGTATTGTATTGTATTGCAGGCTAACTCTGCCCACTACTAGGAGTTTGATCCTGACCAGCTCAAGATTGAGTCAGCCTTTCATCCTTCCAAGGTCAGTAAAATATGGACCCAGATTGTTGGGAGCAATATGCTGACTCTGTAAACTGCTTAGACAGGGCTGTAAAGCACTATGAAATGGTATGTAAGTTTAAATGCTATTGCTATTGTATTGTACTGTACTATGTTATAATAAAGCCTTAAACCCATATACTCAATCTTTCAGGAAAATGGATAAATAACCATAGGCTGTCCAAAGGTAAGAAATGACTTTACTCACTTGGCTCATTACTCCACCTTGATCAGGGCTCCTGCCTTTTGAAAATCTGTGTCCCAAAGCTGCCAAAAGTGAGGATACCGCTGATAAAAATAATTGAATCATGTAAAACTGTATGGGTCATGTTGAAATTACATTATCAATGTCACAAAGGACGGGAAGGCATAGCATCTGTTATATTTCAATTATTTGAATCCTATTAGAATGTAGAAAGAAGACCCAGCTGGAGGTAAAGGGCACCCTATTCCAAATGAATGAGTTACATATAGCTATGTAGGGGTTCAAACATCATCTCAACAACTTTGTCTTCCAATTTCCTGACAAATATGCAAAACCGTGCTTGAATGTTTCATGATTTTAAAATTATGGATTTTTCTCATTTGTTGTCGGGTTTAGTACACATACATTATTACAAGTTACTTTAAAAAAAAAGGGAGTTCGTTATTACCCATAGTCTGCTGAGACACAAATCAATTTCTAGATGAAATAGAAATCATTAGCATGTTCCAAATGAAATAGTCTTAAATCAAGAGTAGAGATAGGCAACCCCATCATCTTTCAAGTTTGACAGAGTCCAATTCATTATCCTCAGTTGCAGCCTAACAATATCTAGAAGATCATCCAGTTCTTTATCTGGGAACCATACTTTCATGTTCTGAAAAGTTATTGCAATAAAGAGTCAACTTGCTTTGAATAATAGCAACAACAAAATGATCAGATATTGGATTGTTAGGGTTAGTTTTTATCTCTATGTCTCAATTCCATTGTCAGGAAAGCAGAATTGAGACAAACCACATTTTCAGTAATTCACATGATGCACAGCTTACTGAGCAAATGTAAAATAACAAGGGTTTTTTGTTTGTTTAAAGCAAGCTGTTTTAAAACTATTGAGCTGAAATCAAATCAGGCCCAATAAAAATGTACAAAGTCACACAGTCAGGTTGGTTGCTGGAGAAATTACTATTGGTCCTTCACCCGAGTCACCAGAGACTTATCTTTAAAATTATATATATCAGTGATGGCGAACCTTTTAGACACCGAATGCCCAAACTGCGTGCGTGCGCACACCCAAACTGAAAAGTGCACATGCATGCATGAACATGCATGCACATGCACAGACATGCACACTCACATGTGAAGACATGCGTGCATGCGCAGCAGAGACCCAAAGACTAGCTGGCCAGCAGGAGGCAGGGCATCCCAACACCGGCAACGCGGCAAGAGGTAAGATCTTTTTCTTTCGTGAGCTTCTGTTTCGTTTGCAGGGAAACCGAAGCTCATGAAAGAAATGCCATGGAGATCTGACCTGGGGCAATGGTGCACGTGTCAGCAGAGAGGATTCTACATGCCACCTCTGGCACATGTGCCATAGGTTTACCATCACGGATATATACCAAATCCATAGAGCCAGATAATTGTCAAGATGGTCCATATATTTCCTAGGATCTTGCTTTGTACTCAGGTAACAGTTTATCTTGTGCAGCATGTGAATGTGCCCATTTACAATATTGCAATCTATGTTAGCATTCATTTTTGGTGCTTCTTACACTGGAGTTTGGAAAGAATTATCAGAAAGAGTCTGAGAGCTTATTGGTTGATGGATGTTGTTGTTCTCTATTAATCCTTCATTCTCTGCTAGTGCATTTTTCTGTACAACCTCCAAAATACAGTCTTCAAAATATAGCAGGTATTCCTGTTGGGAAAGTGTGCTACAGTTTGATATAGGCAAACCACAGTTCACTGAATCCTTTGCAGAGGGAGGAATATCTCATCAGCTAAATCAGTACTTACCCTTGTCTCGAATATGTTTGACAGCTTCCTTTACCATGAATGATGCTATAACACAATGCTTACAACACTTGCCTTGAAACCCAGATATTTTTTTAAAACAAATTGTTAAATTTTTGAATGAATGCATGATGAACTGCTGGATTTTTTTAAAAGCAGCACAGAAAAAGTAGGGTTTTTTTTAAAAAAAAATCTGCTGGATTTCAAACCAACAACTTTCTATATATAAGAGGTAATCCAGTGTTATTGCATTGCACTAGAATATTATTTTGTTTAAATGATTACAGGTAGTTCTCAATTTACGACCACAACTGAACCCAAAATTTCTGTTGCTAAGCAAGACAGTTGTTAAGTGAATTTTGCCTTATTTTATGAACTTTCTTTCCACAATTGTTACTGTAGTTACTAAGCTAGTAGCACATTTGTTAAGTGAATCTGCCTTCCTCATTGACTTTGCTTGTCAGAAAAGCTGTTCATGGGACTCCAGGACACTGCAACCATCATAAATACAGACCAGTTGCCAGGGACCTAAATTTTGATCACATGACTACGGATCCTGCAATGATCATACGTGTGGAAAAGTCATAAATAACTCTTTTGAATGTCATTACAACTTCAAAAGGTCACTAAACAAATGATTGTAAGTTGAGGACTACCTAATATGCAATCTTATTAAACACTTGGCCAGGCAACAATTGAGTAATTATGGAAGGGGAAATAGCCACATTGCTAAAGTACATCTAGTAGAAACTTCAGGTCCCGTGAAAGTCTCCTCAGTATAGATTAGAATTTGATAATTTCCAGAGGAGGTAATATCACGGTCTTTTGCTCTTTCCATATAATTCGAGATTTCTTAGTGTTGCCAAGTCACATATAAAAGACAAAAACTATATTAGTTCACACAACATTGAAAAAAAAGTCAGCTGGGCCTGTTAGTGGTTAATATTGTGAAAATTAATTTAAGTAAATGTAGTTGAGTTGTGATGTAAAGAAGCAGAATATGCTACTTAATAGTTTGAGTGGAACAGCATTTTACATGAAATCCAATTATGTGAGTTTCCTTCTGACTTTGAACTATGTTGCAAATCATCCTATGCTTTGGGTCACTGTAAGTAAAGTAAATAGTTTATTGAATAAGTCTTCAGACCATTTCAAATCTACTACGGGTCACTGAAATACCCATGCTTTTACTTTGGCAAGCAAAGGACAAATTTATCCGGAAGGCAGGTGAAAATCCCATGTAGATGTACACCAGCAATTACACAGTTCTAACAAACAATCATAATAATGAAGGGCTGCTGAAGGAGTGGATGAGTTAGCAGGACCTTCACATTGTATGAGCAGAACTTCCTTCTGCCACGGTGAATAGAACATCAGCTGTGGGAGATCTTACAGACTCCAGCTGCTGTTCAATCTAGCAAAAGAGACAGGAAATGCCACAGACCTGGAAGAATGCCAGGGGGATCTTCAAAATAATCCCAAATCCTCCCTCAAAACAAAAGGGGGAGGAGCAAAATATAAGGGGGGGATTGTAGTTTTCCACATTAAACTATTAGTTGTATTACCCACATTAATATGAACAATAGACAAAATATATTATGGTACCTGTTCTGAGCAAGGATCCTTTGGTAGAAGTGAACACAAACCAAATGAACTATTAGGGCTGCAGGGGACTCTGAATCAGTTCTACATTGAACTGCCTGGGATTTTGGTTATAAAACCATTTGGCTTCTCTCTTTCTGGTTATAAAACCCTAGAAACCCCTCTCAATCATCAGTGGCAACCACTGAAATATCTTAATCAGGTCTTAATGGAGAAGAAAGACTCCCTGACCCATTTCAGATACCCTCTGCACGAATGTTTAACTCCTGCTTGCTGTGCAGAACATTTGTTCATAATATTCTATCCCAAATCCAGTGTATCCGCTGAAAATTGCACTGCTTGCTCTTAACACCTGCTTCGTCTCCCTATCATTAGGAGGCTTTTGTTCATTAGGCTGGAAGTCGAAAAACCGTAGGGCAAAGAAAAATTCAGATGGCTTTTTGGTTTTTTTCCAGCATCAAGCAGAGCCTATTTTCCTCCTGATCATTGAGTGGATTCATTCTACAGTGTATCAAAACCAAAACCAAAACAAACCAAAGAAGGAATAGCTGTTGTCAAAAAACCACGCACCCTCAATACAAAAATCCATTGACCGCTTCTTTTTAGGTGAGAATGCTAATTTGGGAAAAAAATATAAACCCACATGAACTGGGAGGGGGAAAAAAAAACATGACTACCAAGCTATGAAAGTCACAGAACTGTGAATCATATTTCTGATGAGAGAATAAAATTATACATCCAGAGAGAAAGCGAAAGGCACCTGTACTTTCTCACCTCAATATCCTGCATCTGAAAAGAGGGCTTTCTGGACCGTTTACACTTCATTCATACCAGGCTAATTGAAAAAAGAGGGATGGGTTGTCTATTGCCAGGTAATTTATTTAGCCAAGATAAATGGGAAAAGGAGCTGACAGTCTGATCTCAGACCTTGCAAATCTTATTTGCTTTAGTTGAATTAAGATCTCTGTTTGGAAAACTACAAGTAATTGTCAATCAGATGTACCCCCCCCCAAAAAAAAGTTCTCAAGATTTTTTTCTTTGCTTCCAACAACCCCCCTCCATACCTTCCTTAACTGAAAAATCAACATCTTAGCACCCAAGCATCTGTCATCCATTTGTTTAAAAAAAAAAAAAAAAAACAACCCACAAGAATGCTTAAAGTCACATCCAAAATCCTAATTCCAGCATGGCATTTGTTATAGAACAAGACTGCAGTTAGTTTAAAAAGCCTTCTCATTTCAAATGATGCAGCCTGTCATCCTAAGTCTTGCCCACTTTCCTTAGAACTTATTCAAGTTTTCGTTTTTTTTCACCGCTGGTGGGATAACCTTCTCTAGCAACAGACAGATGCCTTCTCCTCCAGTTTGCAATGTCTTATACTATCTAGTGAATGCAGCAGTGACACATCCTGAATCCAGGATGCTGAAGCCGTCTGTTTAATCCCCCTGATTTGGTTTTACTTTTTTGGCGGGGGGAGAGGAGAAAAGACGAAGGCTTACCTGCTGTACGAAACTGCAGCGGAAGCAGCGCTAATATATAACAGCAGCTCCTGCTAAGGGAATCTTGCTTTCTACTCCACCGTAGCAAGAAACTGCTTTCTCCACAAAGTCCTTTTTTTCCCCTCTCCTTTTTTCTCCTTTTCTTTTCGTTCACCGAACAGATGAGAAAGGAAGACCGAGCAGACAGGTTGAAAACCACGTTCTTTTTGGCTGAGGTCCTTCTTTCTTCTCAGAAATGACCGGGGAATCTGGCTCCGGGCTCTCCCACTCTCTCTGGCTCTCTACACATTTACGCTTCAGATCAATACAGCTCTTTAGCAGCAGCTTGAGCTAAACTGCAGCTGATAGAGCCCAGCCAATAGGTACCGAGGATTTTCCCCCCCCCCACTCCTGTCGCCCGCCCTCAAAAAGAGACACGCAAACCATGTATCGGAGAGGTTATTAGTTGTGAACGAAGGAGGACAATTAATCTGAATCCCCTTGCCAGATCACTCAAACCTCTCTCAATTTGCGTGTGCGCGCGCGAGAGCGAGAGCCAGAGACTTTTCAAGCTTCGCTGCTGTTTTGCCTGATGAGATGTCTTGACTAAGCAAAGAAGCCCCCAGCTGGCATCTTTAAAGGAGAAAAGTGCCTTAACGCAAAAGGCTCAAACAGGATCCACAGGGCTTCAAACCTTGCTGGCCATCCCTCTTCTCACCAACTTACAGAGAGCGCGTACGTCAATAATGAAAGGATTCATATATTGGGAATTTTCATACACATGTATTATTAGATGGTATTCCATTTGACCATCCCGTATAATTAAGTCCCCCAGGCGCTGTATTTTCTCCTTTAAAACTCAAAGGCTGTTCAAGCGGAGATCTTTTACTACCTGGATGGTTCGTCTAGCTCAGCACTTTCTAAGGGACAGACAATTCAGTTTCCGAGTCCATGGACTTTCCATTGATTTCTACCAATTGCTCTATCTGTTCCTGGATTGCTCCGCAAATTGTTTTTCAACCATTCCATTGAAGAGGCGGGGGGTGGGGAAATATCTCTATGATCACTTTCACACTGAAGGCTGCCTAGCTAAGTTCCAGATGGCATTTCTAGTTAAAAGGAGCTGGAGTGCAAATAAGAGAAGGCACCCGGAACATTAAAGAAAGAAGTCAGAACAACACTATTTATAAATGACATATTCCCTTTATATGGAAATCTTATGTGGCGACTGCTACTGTAATCCTGCCTGGGTATGCTTTTCAAATGCTGTGCTGTTTATGCAAATGGACAGTGTTGAATATATTTGCAGTTATCCTAGACAAGTTACATGTAATTTTTGGTTGGAAAACTGCAATAAAGGCTTTTGCCTAAGATCTTCGAGCAATGCTACCAAATGTGTTCATACGGAAAGATATGAGATTTTACACTTCTCAGCAAAGAGAACATCGTGATTTGCTATTCACAACTCAAAAAAAAAAGTAATCACTGTATTCAGCTCACCTGATACTAGGTGCAATGTAATATTTCTCACATAAACAACTCCCTGCCTCTGTCTTTTGCTTTAAATTGATACCTTTCTCCCAATTCTCCTTAGCAATCCAAAATATATATTGACTTAGTCAAAGAATGGTTTAAGACATATCTCCATCTCAGCCTTGACTCCTGGCATCATAAATTTTATTTATCTTTTATCTATTACAAAACACAGGGCTGGTTCATATATACATGAACAGAAACACATTCATAGGTTGTTGTTTTTTCTTGAGTGAATAAGGTGTTCCACTTTGTTTTATAAACTATTACTAGCAGCCATGCAATATTAATTTGTAAGGAACTGTATCCCATAAATAGGATATGAAGTAATTAAACATTTCTCCTATGCCATTTCCAAGTTCACATCTAGAAGGCTAATCTGGACATTTACAAAAATCATGTTGCCTAATTCTACCCAAGCCCTGAAAGATAAGTCTAAGGCTGGAGATCTAGTTGGAAAAAATGATGCACCATCTCTGTGGGATCACATCTTGCCTGAAACAGTCTTCCCCGAAGATACTATGGTCCTTACACTGGACAGGCATTTTGCAAGCAAATAAATATGTTATTCTAATGCATTTTCAGCCCTTGTTGGTTGTGATGTCCATTTCTGCATTTTAATATAAGTTTATAAAATATAAACTAATATAAAAATATGTTTATAATCAGTTCTAATCATTAAATCCCAAAATTAAAGTTTCCTTTATTTTACTTTCAAATAAAAAGTCCAAAAAGAGTCTCCAAGTAGAAACAACACAGGATGAAGTCTTTTCTTTCATTGAAGTAATCAGTTTTGCCATCTCAACCAGTTCCATTAACTTCACCACTCTTCACAACTTCACTCTTCCATTGGGGAAATTTGTACGTTCTTTCATCTCTGCACGTGTCTTGCTGCTGTTGTCATACAAACCAACAAAGTCCCATATTTTCTCTCAGTCTGTTTATCCATGAAACCTAAAAGGAAATGGGCCCGAGCATTCTGAACTGAAATCTTTGAGTAGTCTAAATGGATGGTGTTGAAGGCATGAATCACTGTAAGAAGATCTTTCCACTCTGAATAGGACCACAACTGGCAGACCAGCCAAAGCTGAGCAAAGGATCCCTCTGCCATAGTTTCCATCTTCTGTTCTAGAAGGAACCATGAGTCTATAAAGACTGTCAAACCCCAGACCACATCTCTTCCCCACCCCCACTCCCATCAAAAGAAATCACTAGAGACAGAGAACCCTAATGGGCAAATAGTAAACCAATCTTGCTAGGTTCCATTTTAAGACTATGCTCTCCCATCTAAACCCTCACAGCCTCCAGGCCCTGAGCTAGGACATTAACAGTGTCAACAGCATCTAGCTTAGGATGCTGATGTAAAATTGATGTCAAGCTCTGCAAAGCTGGCAAACTCAGGATCCTCTTGGACTTTTAGAAATATCTTTATTGCTAGTAAGGTAATGTATCAGACTCTTGAGAACCTATAACTTGCATAATTTATGCCTAGCAGAATTGCATTGAGTCTCATTCTTATACCTCCCTCCTTTGCAAGGTTGAGATAGCCCGTAGTCTGTTAGACGTCCAATAACAGCTGAGCATCATCAGTATATTGATAATACTGAATCCCAAACCACTGGATCAGTTTTCCCAATGGTTTCATGTAAATATGAAATAAGAGAGGGATACCATCAACTCTGTAGCAACCCCCCAGATTTTTATTTTGGTTCCTGTACTTGTTGCTTGCATCCAGTATTCATCAGGGTTGGAGCAAATAAATAATCCACATGTCTGACATAAGGCAAAGAATAGATTCAGGTAGGTGGAAGTCAACTTGAGAAAATTAATTTTAATTCCTTGTCTTTTGTGGTTCTGCCCTGTTTTGAATCATAATCTCCCTCCCACAACCGCTATTAAGAATTATAACATGTGTTTTAGTTCAACTTTTCCAATCCACTTGAGTTTTTTCCAATACACTTGGGCAATTTTCCAATACACTGAGCTATTGAAAAGAGCTCAGTGTATAGAGGATGTGAGTTGATATCTCTTAGTAATTGTTCTATATCTACCTTATTCCAGTTCACACAAGTTAGCAATAGAGAAGGACAACATCACCCTTAGGTATGTTGATAGGTTTTCATAGCATTCTTTAATATATCAACAAAGGAACCGTTCATGCTATACAATATGATTTCTGAGCCAATGTTCCTTTTCACAAAGGACAATTCCGATGTCACCTTCACTATGGAAATTCACATTGTATAGGACAGGTAATGCAAACCTTTATTTAGCACAAGCATTTCAAAGTCAAAATTGAAAAAAAAACTTGAAGGGCAAAGTGAAGGTCATATGACTGTAGGTATCATCAGTATCCTTGCCAATAGTTTTTTCTCACCTGCGTCATGACAACAGAACCCTTGGAAAGATGTTAAAAGCCAATTATACATTTAAAGTAAACCATAATCTCTGCCAGATAATATCTTCTAAAGAGCAGAACAGCTGCTTGTAGACTAATAACATTATATGGTTGTTTCTATTTCCCATTTCCACTTATCCTCATCCATCATTTCAAGGTATATTTATTTTCAGATTGGATTTGTATCACAATCTCCAACTCCCCTTTTTTTTAACGATATAAGTTGTTTCTATACTCTCCTGGCATACAGGCAATTGTTTCATTTTATCCTGCGATTTAGGAATAATCCCTGGTACCTAGATTTCATGTGTTCTTGAAGTGTAGAGATGCTGTTAGCACCTTTACTTTAAAACTGTAGAAATAATGATCTCAGGGTATATGTTGTCATTCCAGTTACATTTTTCTGTGTCTGTTCTTTGTTGCTGTTCAACTTTGAGATTTTCCTTTGGCTCCAATGTTCTTTCTTCTTAAAAAAGCTTGGTGCAACCTCAAAGAAACAGGATTAGGGTTAGGAAATGGCAGTGGCTGTAGGTGAGCAATAATTGTTGACTACACCCAATTTCCTGAATGTTAGATGGGAATATTATTTTTCTACTATGAATAGCATATCTCCCGCCATCCCTTTTTTTTTCTCCCACTACCCCTTCTTGACATTGTTCTTAAATTGCTAGTCCCTAATGGTAGTGAGAGAAAAGTGATTTGAATGGAAAAGCTGAGTGGAAAGGCTATACATCCATCTGGAGAATGAAGACCAGTGACAAAAAAAGACTCAATTATTTCCCAGCAATCATGTGGTATGGGTTGAAATATGTGTGTATGAGAGAGAGAAAGTGTCTGCGAGAGAGGGAAAAGGGGAAGGGGAGGAAAGGGAAAGGGAAAGGGAAAGGGAAAGGGAAAGGAAAGGAAAGGAAAGGAAAGGAAAGGAAAGGAAAGGAAAGGAAAATGTTTGAAGTGTTTTGTGAATGTTAAGCTTTCACCATTGTTGAGCTGAACTGCTATCTATCCATTCTTCAGTTGACAGGATACTACATCAGCTTGAAAGTACAGTAGGCTTTTCTATTGCCAAGGTCTATCCTGTTGTCACTGCCAGTCATGTGACTGATTGCCCTCCAAGGTCACCACTGGCAAAGATGACTCAACCCTGTGTAACTCAAGGGTTGGGAAGAAGGTAAATGCAAAATCCATGGACATCCCATAAAAAAAAGAGATCACTAAGAAATGTTTGTGCTGTCATGCCATTAAATATAACTAGGGGAAATGCAGAGAGAAAAAAGTGCCTTCAAAGGAGAGAGGGGCAGGCTGGGACTTCTAGTTGGATTTCAGCCCAGGTTGTATATAGCAGGTAGGCCTAAGAGTAGTGACTTTAAACATTTACTAATAATTTTAACTTGGAATTTAGCTTCAATTAAATTTTACTTCAGTTCTCCTTATTGCTTCCTTTCCTATTTTATTAAATATATTCCTGTCAGCAAATATTTTGGTTCCCAGTAACATTTTTCCCCAAGCCTTACTTTTAGCAGGTAGAATTTTTCAAGTATTTTCAGTGTAGGGCTTCTATTTAGAGAGAAGAGATAACTTTCCCAAAAACACAACCCTGCATAGAATAAAAGAATATTCCTATATTCCTATAATCAGCAGATGGAATATTAATATAAATAAAGAGTTAATTTACTCATGATTCGAACATCTTTATTTCTGAAGTTGGAAATCAAGAAGCTTAAATGTGAATGAGAACAAGGCAAAATGGCAGTATTTTGTCACTTGTGTTTTGCAGGTTAAAGAAAAGGACAAAAAACCCCACCCTGTTCTAGCTATCATCTAAAAATTTCTGGAACCTTCATTTCATGTAAGTGTGCATGCAATGCAGAGAGTACCAATTTCAATATTCTATATATAGTTTTTATGCAGGTGAATATTACAGACACATATTTATTGGTCAATGATTTGTACCGTGCCTCAGAATGAATGTGTAGACTGTACATGTTTTGTTTTGTTGATAGCATTCTGTTCTGTTGGGTGATGTTTAGTGCTTTTCAGAGTCAGACTATACTTTATCTCAAGACAGCAATATTTTCCTCCTCTTGTAAAACTTGTGTCTGATTTTTACCGGGACTCGCCCAAATGCAGAGAAAAGAAGTTCATCAAGGTGAGCTTTAAAGGTATGTTATTCATTTTCACCAGTTCCTTATGCTGAGTGTCTGAAGAATTAAATTTGTGGGAAGGGAAGACAATGTTAAAACTCCCGTCTTATTTGCAGAAGAAATAATAAGAAAGGTTGGAATGGTAAGTTAAAGAGATGTGGTTTCCATCTTTAGCTTTGAGATCTTTTGCATTTCAGTTTGCGCTTTCCCAAGTGTTGGAAAATTCTGGGTCCCTTCTAGCAGGGTCAATTTCCTTTTAGAAGAGAATGTCTGAAAGACATATGCTGCTTTTGATTTAAAAAAAAATCTGTTTATGAAAAATCCTATTTGCAAGCAGTCTGAGCAAGAAGCATTAGGAATAACACCTTTAGCAGGCATTAATCTTCAAAACAGCATGAGTTCTCAAACTATTTTTGGCATATCTAGGACCATTTGGGGTCCTCACTGCTCATTAACATATATTTTTTTCAGTACATGGATATGGTAATAATATACAAGGTAGGTGTTTTGAAGACAAACAATAGTGGACTAATTGGGGTCTTAAAGAGGTGAACCCTTTCATGGATCACAGCCTTGTCATGGTGAAGGGGCTTGCACAGCACAATGAAGCTATGAGCTATGCTGTGCAGGGCCACCCAAGACAGACAGGTCATAGCAGAGAGCTCTGTCAAAATGTGATCCACTGGAGAAGGAAATGGCAACCCACTCCAGTATCTTTGCCATGAAAACCCCACAAAAAGGCAATACAAAAAGGCAAAAAGATATGATGGTGGAAGATGAGCCCTTCAGGTCGGAAGGTGTCCAATATGCTACTGGGGAAGAGCAGAGGGCTAGTACCAGAGGTGATATTCAGCTGATTCGGATCGATTCAGGCAAACCGGTAGCGGTGACTGCGGGTCTGCACATCTGCCCAGATGTAATGCTGTCCTGTCATGTTTTCAAGGTTGGGAGCATGCACAGAAGGCACGCAGGAGCAAAGCACATGTGCGGAATGCATGTTTTGCCCCAACTATGGACCCCAAAGAATGTAGCACACACAAAGTCCATACAAACCTTAGTTTACTAATTAAGGACTACTAATGAGTTTTCTTAGTAGTTGTTCCAACACAAGTACAGTTAAAATCAGTCTTTTCTGAACAAGGGGTGTTAATTTAACTTCATTAACAGCCGGCAAGAATCCAAAGAATAATAACTCAATTCTGAAGCACAGTATTTCAGATAACCGTAATCTTACTGTGGTTGGCAGAATGCCCAGAAGCAATTTGCAGGAAAACTGACAAGAAAGAAGCAAGAGCTGATCAGACATTTCTGGAATCAAGATGCAAAGGAATATGAACAAAGTTGTTTCCTGCAAATTGCCTCAGTCGTCGTCCTTCCTTAAATAGGCTAGGGGAGTGGCCAATTAGCCCCAAGCCTTACTCTTGAGGAGACCTCCTCCTGAGGAGCCACTCCTGCCTTTTGGCAGCTCTGCTCACTCATACATCAAGAAGAGGCTCCTCCTCTTCTTCCTTTTCACTTATGGGAGCTTCTGGAGGTTGAAGGCCCTGGCTGAATCCCCGCCTCTGGCACCACATCTTCTCCAGCCTCCTCATTGTCTGACTCGAATGCCAGCTGCATAGGCTGCTGGCACATCACCACATCAGCCTCCTCGCTGTTGGAATCAGCTACTAGCTGCACAGGCCGCTGATGGGCCACAACACCATGAGCTTCCATCAGCAGTCCTGTATGGCAAGTATAAAAGGATACATTCACAGAAAGACTCTGTCCCTGTGGCTCAGGAGAGGTGGAGATTGTGGGCACATTCTCCTTAGATTTTCTTTTTATACGGAGATTAGGAAAAAACATATTTACCAATAACTGCTAGCTCTCCTGGCCGTTCCGACACGACCTATCTTCAGTGGCTGCTTAAGGATGAACAGTCCATAACTACAGCACAGGTGGCCAGATTCTGTGTGGCAGCACTGGGGATTTGTCGCAAACACATGTCTTCTCCACCATAGCGATGTTATATAATAATTGTGGCAAACCCTTTGCACTGCTTAGTCATTTCCCTTTTAGCGTTGAACATACAATGGGCCACACAGTTTACAGATTGCAACTATTATATAGTCAGACCATGTATAATTGACCCTGGATTTTATTATAGATTTTAGTTGTTATTTATTATTTTACCCTAGAAGTTTTAAATGTATATATGCTGAGTGCTTTTATTTGTTCTGGTCTAAGACTGTAATAATAAATTGTTGTTGGTCTTGGAGTACAAAATGAGGCAGGGCACAGGCTGGTAGAATTTTGTCAAGAGAATACAATGGTCATCACAAATAATCTTTTTCAAACAACCCAAAAGATGACTCTACACATGGACATCACCAGACGGCCAACACAGAAATCAGATTGACTATGTGCTCTGAAGCCAAAGATTGAGAACCTCTATGCAGTCAGTAAAAACAAGACCAGGAGCTGACTGTGGCTCAGATCATGAGCTTCTCATGGCAAAATTTAGGCTTAAATTGAATAAAGTAGGGAAAAGCACTAGGACTTAAGCACTTAAATTGAATAAAGTAGGGAAAAGCATTAGGACACTCAGGTGAACTAAATCTTATCCCTGATTAATATATAGTAGAGGTGACAAAAAGATTTAAGGAATTAGATCTGATAGACTGAAGTGCCTGAAGAACTATGGATGGAGGTTTACAACATTGTACAAGAGGTAGCAACTAAAACCATCCCAAAGAAAAAGAAATGCAAGAAAGCAAAATGACAGTCTGAGAAAGCCTTACAAATAGCTGAGGAAAGAAGGGAAGTGAAAGGCAAGGGAGAAAGAGAAAGATACACCCAATTAAATGCAGAATTCCAGAGAATAGTTGAAGAGATAAGAATGCCTTCTTAAATGAACAGTGCAAAGAAATAGAAAAAAAAGAAAAAACAATAGAATAAGGAGGAGCAGAGATCTCTTCAAGAAAATTGGAGATATGAAGAGAAAGTTTCATGCAAAGAGGACATGATAAAGGACCAAAATGGCAGGGACCTAACGGAGGCAGAAGAGATTAAGAAGAGGTGGCAAATTACACAGAAGAACTATACAAGAAGAACATCCCTGATAATGTCCCTGATAACCACGATGGGGTGGGTACTGACCTCAAACCAGACATCCTGGAATGCAAAGTCAAATGGGCCTTAGGAAGTCTGAGCAACAACAAAAATAGTGGAGGTGACAGTAATCCAGCTGAGCTATTCAAAATCTTAAAAGACAATGCAGTAAAAGTGCTATATTCAATATGCCAGCGAATTTGGAAAACTCAACAGTGGCCACAGGATTGGAAAAGGTCACTTTACATTACAATTCCAAAGAAGGGCAATGCCAAAGTATGTTCAAATTACCGTATCATTGCACTCATTTCACATGCTACCAAAGTTATGCTCAAAATCCTACAAGTTAGGCTCCAGCAGTATGTGGACCGAGAACTACCAGAAGTGCAGGCAGGTTTTCAAAGAGGCAGAGGAACTAGAGATCAAATTGCCAACATACACTGGATTATGGAAAAAGCTAGGGAGTTCCAGAAAAAACATCTATTTCTACTTCATTGACTATGCTAAAGCCTTTGATTGTGTGGATCACAACAAATTGTGGCAAGTTCTCAAAAAGATGGGAGTACCAGATCATCTTTGTCTCTTGAGAAACCTATATGCGAGTCAAGAAGCAAGTGGACAAGGAACCACTGATTGGTTCAAAATTGAGAAAGGAGTTCGGCAAGGCTGTATACTGTTACCCTGCCTATTTAACTTATATGCAGAGCACATCATGAGAAAGGCAGAGCTAGATGAATCACAAGTTGGAATTAAGATTGCCGGGAGAAATATCAACAACCTCAGATATGCAGATGATACCACTCTAATGGCAGAAAGTGAAGAAGAACTAAAGGGCCTTCTGATGCGGGTGAAGGAGGAGAGTGCAAAAGTTGGTTGGAAACTCAACATTAAGAAAACTAAGATCATGGCTCCCGGCCCTCTCAATCTCTAGATGGGGAAGAAATGGAGATAGTGACAGATTTTATTTTCCTGGATTCCAAGATACTGCACATGGGGACTACAGCCAAGAAATTAAAAGACACTTGCTCCTGGGAAGGAAAGCTATGGCAAAGTTAGGCAACATACTAAAAAGCAAAGACATTACCTTGCCAACAAAAGTGTGTATAGTCAAGGCTATGGTTTTCCCAGTTGCAATGTATGGTTGTGAAAGTTGGACCATAAGGAAGGCTGAGTGCCAAAGAACTGAGGCCTTTGAACTATGGTGCTGGAGAAGACTCCTGCAAGTCCCTTGGACTGCAAGACGATCAAACTGGTCAGTCCTAGAGGAGATCAACCCTGACTGCTTTTTAGAAGGAAAATGAAACTCAAATACTTTGTCCACTTAATGAGAAAGAAGGATTCACTGGAGAAGAACCTAATGCTGGGAACGATTGAGGGCAAAAGAAGAAGGAACGGCAGAGAATGAGGTAGCAGGATGGAGTCACTGAAGCAGTAGGCTTCAGTGGTGGTCTCTGGGGGATGGTAGAGGAAAGGAAGGCCTAGAGGAAAGTTGTCCATAGGATTGTGATGGGTCGGACATGACTTCACAACTAACAACATCAAAAGATGTGAAGAAAGCAGTCTATTATAATACAGTAACCCATAATTTATGTTTCAGACAAATAATGGATTTAGACAATTGTTCAAATCTGACAACAGTAGGATCTTTACCTTGTGATCTCGTGCCCTGATATGTAATGTTTTTCCTTTAGTTTTTACACTGAGAGGTGGCAATTGGATTTTTTTTTTTAAAAAAAGAAATTGCAACAGTGACTGATTGCTTCCAGAAAATGAGTTACTATATATAAGGGAAAAGCTAGAAATAACCAATGCATTTAAGTTTCATTTTCTATAATACTATGTATTTAACTGCAAGTGATTATTTTAATGCGATCACTTTGCCAGTTATTTTGTTCATCAGGTTTTCTTTTCACTTGGTAGCCTCCCTTTTAGTCTCAGTATTCTATTTATTTTCAAGCCATGCAATGTGATCTAAAGTTGTTAATTTTCTTTTAGATTTAAAAAAAAAAATCCTTTCTGTAACCCATGAAGCTTTTTTTTAAAGTAACATTACAGCAATAGCAACCATTGTTGCATGACCTTGAATCATCAGCATTTCATATTTCAAAATCTGATACGAAATTGCCTGTTTGTAAATATGCAGGATTGAAGAATATGAAGTCAACCCACTCCCTTATTTCTTATGTTTAAGGGATCATCTCAGGTGATTGTATTCCATTTATTAATAATGCTGATATGCAGTAGCTTTTCTCATCCCTGTAAACAGTTTCCTCTGGTAGGAACCAGCCATGAGACATTGATGCAGATCAGGGGCGGGTTTCAAAACCCGTCGCTACCGGTTTGCTCGTGGCCACATGCGCACACGACACTTTTGTGCATGCACAGAAGCTTCCAAGCAGGTGGGCGGAGCCTCCCTCCATCGCCGCTACTGGTTCACCCAATCCTGGGTGAACTGGTAGCAACCCACCACTGATGCAGATTCAAATTGGCCCTGCTGGAAATAGAGAATTGAAATATGCTCATTCCTTGTCCTTATTGCCAATGATGTTTAGAGGAGCAATCCATGTCTACATGCAAGGGAAAGGAATTGCAAAACCAGTCTGCCCATCCTCGTTCTCCAGCATAATTAGATTTTGCATTAGACCCAACCACTGGATGGGAGAAAATATCCCATCAAGATTATAGTCAGTGAGAGATTGTATTTATTTGTAAAATTATTATAAATTTTCTCATTCCAAAGCCTTGAAAATTCTCCATAGGCCACAGGTGTTCTTTTGCATTTATTCTCTTTACATTTCCCAATACCAGAGCGAAAATAATGCATGAACTGAGGTGTAAACAGTCTATTTCATTTAATAAGATCAGAGGACTGGACAACCAGGGAGACATCAAGATATTATTAACAGGGGTAGCCACAGCAATGGTCATTGACTTTTTAAAAATCCCCCTTTTTATAGGTAGTCAATAAGCATTAAAAGAGGCTCTTGCCAGATTCAACATTTAATTAATCTCAGATTTAATTTTCTTAAAGAATGTACCATTGGTCAAAGTACACCTCCATCCTTGTGGTAATCATTGGTTTTGATTCAGATTTATTTTGCTCAAACAAAGTAACTTGGGCTCAAATTCCTGATCCCCAAACAGTCTTTTTGAAAGCCTCTTTTTTGGACTTTTTTTTTCTATTTCATTTTTTTTTCCTTAAAGGGTTTTCTAGAGTTGTTGTTATTAAAAACAGGGGAGGCTGTATTTATTCTCTTTCCTCATTCAGCTTTAAGCTACCTTGTATGATTTGAAATTTTCATTCAAATGAACATGGGTGACTTTTATGTCCTACCTCTGGGGTTCTGGTTCAGAGGTCTACACAGATGATCTAGCTAGGAAGAGAAAAATATGAACACAAACAAAGCATTATTAATTCTGGCTTTTTCGACTATATAATAGGAGCAACACTGATCTATTCCAAAAAAAGGAAATAATGATGCTAAGTATTCCCTAGAGTTCCCATGGGGCACAAATGCATTGATCCTAAAAGGATATCTCTCCCACTCAGCTACCTTATTACAGCAAAGGTAATATCTTTGGGTGAAGCTTAACTGCTGGTAACCTCACAAATATGTCCAATATTTATCACGTATCAAGATATTTAGCCTCAAATCTAATCTTTTCCCACAATTTCTGGATCTAACTTCTTTTTCCCTTTTTCTTGTATGTGGAAAATTTCAAAACATTTTATCCTGACTGATCTTTAATTGGATTATTTTGGGTTTAGAGACATTCTGAAGACTAGAATTGTTTAACATGTAATTATCTATCTATCATCTATCTATCTATCTATCTATCTATCTATCTATCTATCTATCTATCTATCTATCTATCTATCTATCATGGATCACTGCCTTGTCGTGACAAAGAGCTTGTGCAGTGCAATGAAGCTATGAGCTATGCCGTGCAGGGCCACCCAAGCAAAAATCCCTGCACCCCCCACCCACCATGCCCAGCTGAGCTGCACGATCATCAGAGGCTTTTTTTTTTTACTTTTAAAAGCATTTTTTCTACAACCACTTCCAACGAAAAAATGCTTTTAAAAGGTTAAAAAAAAGCCTCTGATGATCACGCGGCTCAGCTGGAATCGTCAGAGGCTTTTCAAAGCATTTTTTTCTGCAACATCTTGGCCGAAGAGGTGGTAAAAAAAATGCTTTGAAAAGTCTCTGATGATCCCAGCTGAGTTGCCTGATCGGCAGAGAGGTATTTTTTAAAAAGCCTCTCTGACGATCCCAGCTGAGTTGCCTGATCGGCAGAGGCTTTTCAAAGCATTAGAAAAAATTGAAAAGTTGGCCATGCCCACCCAGTCACATTACCCCCCCACACACCAAGCCACGCCCACAGAACCGGTAGTAACAAATTTTACATTTCACCCCTGGCTAGTACTAGTAGCACCAGAAAGAGTGAAGTGACTGGGCCAAAACCGAAAGGACGCTGTGCTGTGGATGCATCTGGTGGTGAAAAGAAAGTCCAATGCTGTAAAGATCTATACTCCATAGGAACCTGGAATGTAAGATCCATGAATCAAGGCGAGGTGGACAAACCTTAAGGTCAAACAAGAGATGACAATACTGAACATCGACATCTTAGGAATCAACAAAGTAAAATGGACAGGAATAGGTGAATTTAATTCAGATGAACATCAGGTATACTACTGTGGGCAAGAGTCCCTCAGAAGAATTGGAGTAGCCTTCATAGTCAATAGCATTGGCATCCTTCAGTCTCAAAAGACTATGGTATTGTGCTCTGGAAAGAGGTCCTAAAATAGAATCTAGTGTGACTAAAAAGGCCAATTCGAGACTGGCAGTTCCTTCCACACTGAGGGCAGATACATACTGTCCCCTGCCCAGCCCCCAGATTTCACTGGTTCCAGGACTGCCTCTTTGCCTCAGCCTGCCGAACAAGTGTCTCTTCGAATTGGAGAAGGCCATGCTGCATCTTTAGCCTCCAAGCTGAACGATAGGAGGTCAAGTTGTTAATATCCATTCCCAGGGCCTTTAGGTCCCTCTTGCAGATATCCTTATATCGCAGCTGTGGTTTCCCTCTGAGGCGCTTTCCTTACACTAATTCTCCATACAGGAGATCTTTCGGAATCCGACCATCAGCCATTCTCATGACATGCCCCAGCCAGCGTAGATGTTGCTGTTTCAATAGTGTATACATGCTAGAAATTTCAGCACATTCCAAGACTGTTCTATTTGGAACTTTGTCCTGCCAGGTGATGCCAAGAATACATCGGAGACAGCGCATATGAAAGGTGTTTAACTTTCTCTCATTCCGTGCATAAAGGGTCCAAGACTCCTGCACTACAAGAGTGGGCTCAGGACGCAGGCTCTATAGACCTGGATCTTTGTATGTTCCGTCAGCTTCTTATTAAGCCATACTCTCTTTGTAACTCTGGAAAATGTGGTGGCCGCTTTACCAATATGTTTATTCAGCTCAGTATCTAAAGAGAGAGTGTCAGAGATAGTTGAGCCAAGGTACACAAAGTCATGAACGACTTCCAGTTCTTGTGCAGAAATTGTAATACAGGAAGGTGAATCCACATCCTGAGCTATGACTTGTGTTTTTTACAGGCTGATTGTTAGTCCAAAGTCTTGGCAGGCCTTGCTAAAACTGTCCATAAGTTGTTGAAGATCTTCAGCAGAGTGAGCAGTGATGGCAGCATCATCAGCAAAGAGGAAATCCCATAAGCATTTCAGCTGGACTTTAGACTTTGCTCTCAATCTAGAGAGATTAAAGAATTTTCCGTCTGATCTGGTCCAGAGGTAAATACCCTCTGTTGAAGTTCCAAAAGCATGTTTCAGCATGACAGCAAAAAAGATCCCAAATAAAGTTGGCATGAGGACACAGCCCTGCTTCACTTTACTTCAAATATCAAAAGAATCTGATGTTAAGCCATCAAAAACTACAGTGCCCTTCATTTCCTCATGAAAGGACCTGATGATATTGAGGAGCTGAGGTGGACATCCAATCTTGGGGAGAATTTTATAAAAGCCATCCTTACTAACCAAGTCAAAAGCCTTCGTAAGATCTATGAAGGCTACAAAAAGTGGCTGTCTTTGTTCCCTGCATTTCTCCTGCAGATGTCTAAGGGAAAATACCATGTCAGTAGTGGACCTGTTGGCTCGAAATCCACACTGTGATTCTGGATAGACTCTCTCTGCAAGCACCTGGAGCCTCTTCAGTACGACACAGGCAAGCAGCTTCCCTACAACACTAAGAAGAGAGATGCCATGGTAGTTGTTACAGTCACCCCTGTCATCTTTGTTCTTGTACAGTGTGATGATATTTGCATCCTTCATGTCCTGTAGTACTCCACCTTCCCTCCAACAAAGACAGAAGATTTCATGCAATTCAGTGGGATGTTCTCTTTGCAGCGCTTCAGAACTTCGGCAGGGATGTTATCTTTCCCGGGTGCCTTGCCGGAGGCAAGGGAGTCCAGGGCCGCATTTAGTTCTTCTAAAGTTGATTCACTGTCAAGCTCCTCCAAGACAGTCAGGCACTCAGTGTTATTTAATGCTTCTTCAGTTACCATATTTTCTCTGGAATATAACTCAGAGTAGTGCTGCACCCAGCGTGCCATCTGCTGTGCTCGGTCCTGGATAATCTCACCAGGGGAAGATTTCTTCTGTGTTGGACCTAAAGCCTGCTTGATACCATCATACATCCCCTTGATGTTGCCTGTATCAGCTGCTATCTGGATCGGAGAGCAAAGTTGCAGCCAATAATCGTTAGCACATCTCCTGGCAGTCTGTTGGACTTTGCTACGAGCAGCTCGCATAACCTGTAGGTTGCACTCAGTGGAACAGGCTTTATATGCAATTAGAGCTCTCCTTTTTTCCTCGATGGCTGGTGTCCTTCGAATGGGCTTCAAACCAATCTGCTGTCTTTCTGATCTCCTTACCAAATACTGACAAGACGGTGTTATAAACAGTATTCTTGAAATATTCCCATCGTTCAGATGCATTTACTTCAGCCAGGCCTGGGAGAGTTTCCTTGAGTGCTTGTGCAAATTCCTCCACTTTGCCCTGATTGCGGGTCTTGTTGATGTCAATTTGTGGTCTTCCTTCCTTCTTTGAGTGATGCAATCTCTTTGTTTACAGTTTTATTCTGCACACCAAGGAGTGGTCTGTATCGCAATCAGCACCCTGATAGCTGTGTGTGATTGTAATATTGGGGAGGTTAGAGCGCCTGGTAAGAATCAAGTCAAGCTGATGCCAATGCTTCGATCTTGGATGTCTCCAAGAGACTCTGTGTTGAGGCTTTGTTTTAAAGTATGTATTGCTAACACAAAAACCATAGTAGCAGCAAAACTCCAGCAGGCGTTGGCGATTTTTGTTCATCTTCCCGATGCTGAACTGACCTAAACAAGTGTGCCAAGAACTATAATCAGCTCCAACTATGGCATTAAAATCGCCAAGGATAAACAGTAGTTCTTTCTCAGGGATTTTCTTGATAGTAGCAGCCAGATCGTCGTAGAATTTGTCTTTGGATTCTTCTGAAGATGATAATGTCAGTGCATATGCACTAAAAAGAGTAACCAGCCCTGCTGATGAGTGGAGCTGCAAGGACAGATTTTTTTTCACTTCCTGCAGCAGGTGGAGTAATGGATCATAGTAGGGTGTTTCTGACCGCAAAGCCAACCCCATATTCCCTAGACTCGTTTGATGTTTTTCCCTGCCAGAAGAATGAGAAGTTTCTCTCCTTAACAGATCCTGAGTCTAACAGGATCTTGAAGGGCAATGATGTCCATCTGCAGTCTGCTCAACTCCATGTCAATGGCAGCTGTCTTACGTACGTCATCTATCTCTTGTAAATCATCAGAAAGGCCAGGGGTCATTGTCCGAACATTCCAGATGCCCAACTTTAGGTCTAAAGTTTTCTTATGTTTGTTGCATGGTGCATGGTGGTTATCAATCTGCTTGTCAGCTTTGACCCTAAACCCCATGCACCCTGTGAGGTTAACAGACCGTGGTGGGGCAGCACCTTACTAGCTGGGGGCTGCCCAGCTTAAGGCAGGCGGTAGCTGCCCAATGAGGTACAATGACCTCTCCCACTGACAAAAGTGCCCCCTGGCATCACATGCCAATCAAGCAAAGACTTATAACTGGTAACTGCCACTTCCCGTGTTGTTTCAATGCTGTATGCAAAGCTGGAGTGTCCTCTCCAGAGCACGAGGCTGGGTAAATTAATATGGAGGATAAGCTGTTACCCAAGCAGCAGATCCACCCTCTTCACATTGCTGAAATAGTCCAATGGAATGGCAAAGCCGATACGATTAGTTTCAGCTGCATCACAGGAGTTTCCAGAACATGATAATACACAGTCACAAACTGCTTCTGGGACTCCGGCTCTAGATTTTGCCTATTTACTACTGGAACAGGCTTCAGGAGACCGAATCCTATCTACTAGACCACCAGGGATGGATCCTATCTATTAGACCACCAGAGACTGAATCCTAACCACTAGACCACCAGAGACCGAATCCTATCTACTAGACTACCAGGGACCGAATCCTATCTACTAGACCACCAGGGACCGAATCCTATCTACTAGACCACCAGGGACTGAATCCTAACCACTAGACACCAGGGACTGAATCCTATCTACTAGACCACCAGGGACTGAATCCTATCTACTAGACCAACCAGGGACTGAATCCTAACCACTAGACCACCAGGGACCGAATCCTAACTGCTAGACCACCAGGGACGAACATATCTTTTTTATTTTTATTGTTATTAACATTATTATTAACATTATTAACATTATTAACATTATTAACATTATTACTACTACTACTACTATTATTATTATTATTATTATTATTATTATTATTATTATTATTAAAATTATTATTTATTGTTCTATTGCTTTGCATGTCTATTGAGAGCTTCTGCACTGGAGACAAATTCCTTGTGTGTCTAGATCCGTTTCTTCATTGAGCAGTTCCTGTTGTATCTTATCAGTTTTCTGAATCTGGATGAGTCAAACTGGAGTATGTAATTAAGTCTTTCTTTTTTATAATGGTGGTCCTTGGAGTAAAAAGTGTTTGATGGGGTTGCCAATGACGAGATTGCCAAATTTATCCTTACTTTTGAAATACACTAAAAGTTTAACAAATTTGTGTTATATGTCCTTCCAAATTCTTTTTGTTCTTTTGTTTTTTTGTACCATATATACTTGTGAAGTCCATTGACTAGACCTGTTCCCACTATTATTGGCATTCTACTATTTGGAGATTTTATCCATTCCATTAACCATAATATAGATAACTTGCTATCCTCTATAGTACAGCCTAAGATTGGCAAATGGTAGTGTCTTTTTCTTTTGAATATTTTTTTATATGTTTACTCTTAAATTTTTCCCCCACTGTATATAAATCTGTTTATTGTTCTTTGCCAATCCTGTAATTTTTTAAATCTGAAATTGAAATTGGTACCATTTAGAGTAGAAAACTCATCTTGGGTAATTTTTTTTTTTTATTTTTTTTGTTATCACAATAAATCCTAACAAGGAATGTTTTAAACTTTTCCACATTTTCAGGTTTTGTTTTATTTTTTCCCCATACTTTGTTGGAATTGTTTTAAAATATAACTTCATTATGTCTCAACAAGTGGAGTTCTAGGTATTTTTCTGAAACTTTTGTTATCACACAGCCAGTCTATTTTTTCACAAAATCATTTATGTCAGAAGTTAAGTGACTTGTTACATTAAATTTGCTTTTCATTAACATTAATGGTAGTCAAAGTCTTTATTATTTGCATTGATTTTTGTATGGAGCTGTATGGTTGTGTAATTGTTAATACTATGTCATTTACATAGTATTTCATTTTGCATTGTTCATGAAATTTGATTCTGATTATTTGTTTATCTTTTCAAGTTCTCGCAAGCTCCGAGTTGCATGGGGCTTGGATCAGGGAACAGAGGGCTTCAGTCCAGCAAAGCAGCCAAGGCTGGAATGACCACATGGGAAGCACATTGAGCCTGAGCCAAAGGAGTTGCAGCTGCAGCAAGTTAGCCTGGAGGAGCAGCTTCATGAGCAGTTTCCAGTGGCCAGTGAAGATGAGGAGGTGAAGTCCATATTTCCTCCCAATCTAAGGATGCACAGGGCAGAGAGGAAACAGGTACAATGCTGGTTGGCCAGGCTACTTACAAGGAGGCAACCTTGCCGATTGTGAAGGGTTACATTGACATTGCCTATTTAATCCCACTCTAAGAGATGGGCATTGCTGGAACAACATGTCCAAGTTCCTTGTTCTGTGTATCTTCCTCCTTGGACTTCCTCCTTGAACAGTTTGGACTGACTCTGGATTGTGTATTGCATTTTGTGAACTGGGCTTTGCCAAGAACTCCCATATCACAACAGTCTTGTTGAGCATGGCAGCAGGACATGCTCATCATGTGAACTTCTTTTGAATTGCTGGGGGTTTGAATAAAGCCATTGCCTCACTATGGTGTGTGCGTGTGTGTGAGAGAGAGAGAAGGCAAAATACCTTTGCTGTTTGTCATTGATGTATGTTAACAATAAATTATAATTGCAGCTGTGCTGTACATTAGTTGGTCCTCCCACCAATCATTCTGTTTGTCTATCTTTAGAAGTTCTCCGGGTGAGCATTGCTAGGAAAAATTCTTCACCGTGGAGAAAATTTTCACCTAAAATACTCAAATTTACCAGGAAAGTTATGACAGTTATACTGTGCTATAAGTAGAGCAAATGTTATAAAAAGGTTCCAGAGAGGAAAAATCTGTGTCAGCTAATAATGGCATTGTTAACTTTCAGGTACGGACAAGTTACGGCATTTTCAGTCAAGAATAAAGCTGTGAAAGAGAGACAAAAAGTTGTCATATTATTTTTGAAGGTGCTATTTTTGAGAGATTCTTTATCTAGCCAGGCTGAATCTAATATGGTTTGCTTTTATCTTCTCACAAACTCAGATTTCTTTCTTAGGGAAAAGAAAGTAAGACTTCTAAGCCAAACTTCCAAAATTCCCTTTTAATCCCTGATTTCCAGTATGTTAATGGTAGCCATATTATAAAGCTGAAACTACCCAGAAATGTGGTGATTTTTTTATATAAATTGGATGTAAATTCAGATAGCACTTCATAAATTAAATTGGGCACTTTTTCACATTAAATTAAATTATATCCAAGACCATAGTTTTCTGTCAATGCTATTTCCTTGGCTAACCCAGGAACCTCGAGGAGGTGAGCCAAGGTGAGGCAAGTGAAGTAATATTTATCATGAGGTCAGGATGCAAAAAATATATGTTATGTATTTGCATCAAATATTAGAACACAAACATGGATAGACAGGATTTGCATAACAAAATCACTACATGTATGTCTTCATTTGGATATAATTGTGAGTTGCCACAGATATCTATAACACCATCTTCTTTAGTGAATTAGTTACATCAGGGATGTCAAACTCGATCTCATTGAGGGCTGCATCAGGGTTGTGTTTGACCTCAGGGGGCCAGAGTGGGTATGGCCAGGATGGGCATGGCGGGGGCGCCTGTGGTGGCCCGAGCACTCTGCCAGAGAAAACTAGTTCCTGAAACGTTTTCAGCTGCAACAGTCTCAGCTAGTGAAATTGGAGCTCGGGAGGGCCACATGTGACACTCCCAAGCTCTGTTTTTGCTGGCAGAGGCACTGTGGGCAAATCCTTCACTGTTTCCAGGGCAGCTCCATGGGCCAAATCTAAGCACCCTGTGGGCTAGATCCAGTCCCCAGCAGGGGTGGGTTCTACTTACCCTTACTACTGATTTGCAATGGATCGCGCACGTGAACAAAGCAAGCTTCTGTGCATGTGTCTTGCTTCCGCACGTGCGGATGCGCAGATCACTGATGATGACATCTGGGGTGGTGGGTGGGGCCTCCCACTGGTTTTACTACTGGTTCTTGTGAACCAATCCGAACCAGGGGCAACCCACCACTGGCCCCCGGGCTTTGAGTTTGATACCCCTGGGTTACATGCACTGAAATGATATGCCACAAAACTTCTAGGAATTGGCAACTAAATTCCTGTAGGCATTAGAGCATCCATAATATCTCTAAAACTTCTTCTCATAATCCCCCATTCACAAATCTGAAAAAAAAAAAGTTTTTGTTTCTGTTCAGGTAACTACAAAAAGTCCATAAAATGTTCAAAAATGTATATATTACAATAAATATATTATTATGTATAGTAATTATTGCTTTTATTTCATTTCATTTTTATTGACCTCTCCCAACTCTTCAAGGATCCTTTGAAATGTCTCTAGTATCATAAATTTATGTGTCATTTTGTGAGTTTCAGTACTTTTCTTTTGAATCCAAAATAAAAATAAAAATAAATCCCATTTCTCTCTTTATTTTCCCGCCTCTCTATCATCCAAATTCTATAAAATCTCAATAAATATCTCTGTTGGCACTAACTTTTTTACATAAAACAACCAAGGCCAATGTAATTTTTCCAAAAGAAATAATACACCAATGTAAAAATATAAAATAAAAAAGCCCAATAGTAAAAAGGTGACTGCTACAACAAAACATTAACTAGCTATTAAGGACAGGCATTTATGTAATATCTTGTCCAAAGGGCAATAATAACATAAACCAATATATAATAAGTGTGCAAGGAAGTGGGCTAGCTATTCACAAAAAGGTCACTAGGAATCATAACTTCAACTTTATAGACATTTTTATTTTTTTATTTTATTTTTTGATAAGAGCAGTCCATTTAGGTTTTGTTGTGATTTTTTATAAAATCAATCTAAAATATTCCTATAAGCATGTTTCATGATGATTTATAACTGATAACTCATTTTAAAGTATTTATGGAGAGACACAATAGAGCAGGGGTCATCAACCTTTCGGACCTCAGGGACCACTAAATTCATAATTTTAAATCCTGTGGACCACTAATATGATCTGCCTAATAACCAGCTGGGTGGGGATGGCTAGGTGGTCATGTGACTGGTGGGCATGGTCAACTCCTCACCTCCCGACCTGGGCTCCTTAGTGCCCCAATAGGAAGCAGTTGATGGAGCTAAGCAGCCACCACGTGAAAGAGTTGTCAAAACAGCTGGCTCAGTTCAAATTGGATCTGACCAAGAAGGAGGCTCAGCAGTAGCACCTCACTGAGGACTACGAGCATAGGCTTTCCAAGCAGAGGGAAGACCTGCGGGAGTGCAAAGCCAGGTACCAGCATCTGGAGGCTCAGTGGGTTGAGATGGTCATTGAGTTCCAGGCCATGATGCAGTCCCACTGGAACAAGGTCCTCCAGCTCTTTGCCACCAGCGGCACTTCCCTCCAGCCTTTGCTAAAGCCCTGCATCAGGAACCTGAAGCAGACCCCAAGTAGGAATTTCTGCCCCCCTCCGACCCACACAAAAAGACCCCGAAGGAGGAGACTCTGCAGCAACACAAACGTTCATTGCACGTATCTGTCCCAGGGGCTGTAGTTTGAGGACACCTGATTTAGTGCAATATAAAAAATGCAAATAATTTTTCTGCGGCCCACCAAAATTTTCTCACAAACCACCAGTGGTCCACGGACCACCAGATGGTGACCACTGCAATAGAGGATCTGAACACTTCAGGAAGATTGATAAAGACACTGGAGAATTAGATTCAAACTCACCTGGATTTCAATTGGCTCTCATTTAGTGCTGTTAATTTTTTAATACAGTGGTTCACTATTTTTTATGGAATGGATTATTTCCAGCCAACTCTCAGATGGGAAGTTTGACCTAATGACATTGATGATATCTTATTACAGTGATTACTGTTTGAACAATCAGAGAATAGGCTAATGCCTACATTATCAACATGATTAGTCATGGATTTTCATGATATATGTCAGATCAGGAAGTACTATTGCACTTCCAAGTGAAACCCCTAAGTGAAAAATTGTCAACTGAATATATTGCATTTGAATGTAACCTTCAATAAATATTTATATTTAATATCTGATTACTTAATAGCAGGATTTCAGAGGTTTCATACAGTAGGGCTTCACACTGACAGCTGCAATGAGGCAACAACACTTAATATATGGCAATAATTAGTATGTAGTATTTGCTAAACTCTGAAGCCCACTAAAATTAAACTACCGGTAATTAAGGAATGGCAACATATCTAAACATATTTTATTGCTATATGAATAATCCATATGTTGCTTCATGTCAAGTATTCTCAACCTTTTGGGGAAAAAACTCCCATTTTTCGCTTCCTATCGCTATGAAGACAGGAGCTTGAGGCTGTGTGAAAGGGCCAAAGCTATTTTAACTAGTATAAATTTATACTGAACATCAAGTCTGCCTAACTTGTTGTTTTGATTAAGGAAGCCCAATCACCTGAAGAGCCACAACAATTCTGGGCCAGCAAGAGGATTTTTTTTTTCCTGAAGCATTACAAATTTAATGTACTAACTAAACATCTGAATTTATACAGTAGTGGCCAAAATTGTGGAAACCTTTTGGGAAAAGTATATTTTCTAAAACAAGCTAATAAGACCACTTTTTTGGGAGTAGCACCATAAAATTATATATCAATGCAAAGATAATCAAGAATGTAATGCAATAGTTTTTACAGTATAAAGAAGAAAAGTGAAACACATAGAAAAAATGAGATATACAAAAATTATCACCATGTCAGTTAATCAGTGGTGGGTTGCCCCTGGTTCAGACCGGTTCACAAGAAGTGGTAGTAATACCAGTGGGAGGCTCCGCCCACCGACCCCGACATCATCAGGAAGTTTCTGTGCATGCGCAGAAGCACATGCGTCCCCGTTGCGAACCAGTAGTAAAGGTAAGTACAACTCACCCCTGCAGTTAATACTTAGTTGGATAACCTTTAGCATAAATTACAGCCTTACAATGTCTTCCCATGGACTGAACCAAGTCTTTTAGTCCTGCAGCTGTATATAATGCGAAACCAAGATTGAATGATTACTTCTGTTAACTGGATTTTATTGCTGGGTCGCTTCTGACTAACAAGTTTCTTTAGTTGGCTTCATAGATTTTCAATTGAGTTAAGGTCTGGGCCATTCCAGCAGTGGAATATCTTGAAACTCAAAAAAAAAAAAAAAAAAAAAAAGTGGAGTTATTAGCCATCAAGCCTCAAAAATATACTTTCCCCAAAATTCCACAATTTTGGCCACTACTGTAAGATAAAAACTGTTAAGCATTTGGTGAGTAGCTTGTAAGATCAAAATGTTAGGCACATTAAAAGGAGGTGACAATGTTTGTTAACCCTACAAGGTGGAGCAGATAAAAAAAAATCCAATGCCATATACAATAGGTTAGGACAATTTTTATTGTAACAGCTATAGTAACAGAATCAGGTCTGAATGAGCTTCGTCTTTCTTCACTTATCTTCATGTGAACTATGGAGAGGTTTATCTGCAGTGTTTTCTCAAATTAGTTTCATGGAAGGGGCTCAAGTCCCACTTATCAGATCATTATCTTGATAGCAGCTCTTCCTCCAGTTCTTCTGAGCTATTCCCTATGTAATCCACAACCATTCACATAATTGCTTGTCCAAGAATATATTGTCATTGCTATTGGGAGAATTTCCAAGAATTTCCCATGTTTAATTGTATTCTTTTTTCCCCCTGAAAAGAAAGTTAATAATCATCAAAATTGCCCTAAAAATAAACCAGTGCCACATTTTCTCTAAATAATAGCAATAACACTTAGACTTATATACTGCTTTACAGTGCTTTTCAGCCCTCTCTAAACGGTTTACAGAGTCAGCATATTGCCCCCAACAATTTACCAACCTCGAAAGGATGGAAGGCTGAGTCAATCTTGAGCCTGGTGAGATTTGAACAGCCAAATTGCAGTCAGCCGGCAGTCAACAGAAGTAGCCTGCAGTACTGCACTCTAATCACTGTGCCACCACAGTTACCGGACTTTATGTTCTTTTTACATAATGTTTCACTTACAACTATCTAGTGACAGTATTTGCAAAGTAGAAATTGAAACCTATGAAAAAATTATCCCAATCCTGTGCCATATATTCTATGTTTTATGTCAAAGGTCTATAATACTTTTACAGGTCCTCCCAAGGAACTTTTAATTTGGCCTACATTTGTGTGAACTGAGATTGCCAATTTGGTGTAATGATTAAGCCATTAGAGTAAAAACCAAGAGACTATGAGTTTTAGTTCCTCCTTAGGCCAAAAAAGAACAACAACCCATAGCTGGATGACCTTGGGCCAGTCTTTATGTCTCAGCTCTGGAAAAAAGGCAATGGCAAACCACATCTGAAAAAAATCTTCCAAAGAAAACTGCAGGGACTAATCCAGATAATTGCCAGGAATAAAAAGAACCTGACTTGAAAGCACCCCCAAAAAAGTTATGAATTGAAGTGATTATGCATATAAGAGGAATGGGACCATTTTCACTTTTAAGCAAATGAGAAATGAAGTGTTGGCAGAAATATCCATCTGGTTCAGTTCCAAGCCAGGAGAAAGATACTGGAAGCATAGAGGCTGATTGGAAAGATGGTTTAATGATGAAGCAGAATCACCAAGCACATGGTTCTGGTGCAGCTGACCACATGGAGTTGAGGGGGGGGGATTATACCTTCTCTTGGGCTTTGCACTTGAGCTTCCTGTTCCTGTGTAAGAACATGTATTCTATTGGCTGTTGTCAGACTCCCATGGGGCCATGTAGGGGTTATGTAGGGGTCATAGCTGGCTTTATAGGCAAAGTACAAATCCTAGGTGTTTGTCTGAGCTAAATTTGGTTGAAGTTTGGAGGGTGATGCAATGTCCTTAGGATATTGTGCACTGTAGTGAGCTCTGCTTCTAAATGGTAGTGGGTTAATCCTATTATGTCCTCAAGGGTCATGTCTTAGTCCCATCATCCTGGAGCTGAAGGTCTTTTATTTTGTAGATAGCCTGTCCCAATTTTTCTCAATGGGCACAAAATATCTGCTGGGGGGAGGGAGCTGGGGCTCTGAGCTTCTGTCTCCCTTAAGATTTTTTATTTCTCTTTTAGGGGAAATGTTTTATTCTGCCTTTTTTTGTAACATTCCTCAAAACATTTCATTCTTCTAGGAGGGCAGCGGGGGCTTCCCAAAGAAGTAAGTTAGGGAAGGTTAAGACTCATGAAAACAGATGTGAGGAACATGGGACTGGTTTCACGATTGCTCTTAGAATTCTTCTTTAAGTTTCTTGCTCGGTTGCCTGTCTCTGTAGGCTTCCCTATCCTTTCTTTAAATTAGCATCTAGTTATTTACAGTTCAAAAAATCCAAATTCTATGATGAGGCTTGTTTTGTTTGTTTCCCTGCATTAAACATCAACAACATTGTAAGTAATTTCAAGGAAAGACAAGAGACTTTCGTTAAGCCAGGCAAAATTTCTCAAGGGGATTATAGTTCCTGAGGAAAAAAAAAATAGAGAATTTGTTGAGTTGTTTACAGCAAAAAAACAAAAAAAGACAATCTCATAGCATGAGGGTATAACCTCCTTTTTTAAAGCTTTGGTTTGATAAGTGTTCAGGCAGTAACTGCTCTCATTTCAGCTTGTTATTTTTGTATTTTTTATCTAGTCTTCTGCATTTCCAGATTCTACTATTTCATCTTAGAGAACAACTTGTACATTTATTAATCCTTTTTTCTTAATACATGTTTGTGGCCATACAAACATATCTGTGGTATGAAAAGCCTTGAGTAGGCTTCCTCTGAAGAAAAGAATGATGAATGCACATTTTTAAAAGCAAAAAAAATATAAAAAAAAGTTTTGCACACTTACCACTTGTTCCTCTTGATATTTATTTCTGGTCCAAAAATGAACAACACAAATCTTGAAAAATGATACAAAACATCCAATTAATTTCCATTACAGAAGCTTAATTTGTCTTATTTGACTAAATTTGCTGGGAGAATCTTCAGTAACTTAGATACGATGAAACCACTTTGACGGTTGGAGGCAAGGAAGACTCCAGGAATCTCTTGTTGAAGGTGAAAGAAGAGAATGCAGAAAACAATGTACAGTTCAGTTAAAACAAATGTGAGAAGTCCCCCCCGCCAGAAGAATGAAATACTTTGGGAAATATTTAAAAAGCAGACTATTATATTTCCCTAAAGAAGAAATGGAGAAACATGTTTTTAGAGGCAGAAAGCAACCTCCAGTCTTTCTTAATAGTCCACAGGAAATGCCAGCACTTAAGGAGATAAAGAGCTTATTGAAAGATGAAGTCAACTATCTAGATGGCTCCATTCATAAGCAAAGCAAATACTGCCGGCAGAAATCCATTCAAGACAGAATATTTCAAAACTTCTTGCAGCAAAGTTTGGCAGCTAACAAAAGCAGAATGGTAGGATTAGAACAAGCAGCCCCTCACCCAAGATCCAACACAGGACGAAAGCCATTAGCCACAATAGGAATTGCCCAACACCCTTTTAAAAACACAAAGCCCATACTATACAAATCCCAAACTTCAAAGTTACAGAAACTATAAAGATCCATCCACCTATTCATCCATTTGGTCAGCTGTCCCAGAATCTCATGTGGTTGGTGGTTCTGTTTCATCAATAAATGGATCTTCTTTCCAATCAGCCTCCAGCCTCCATTTTATTTCCAGTGCCTTTCTCCAGGCTTGGAACTGAACCAGATGGATATTCCTTCCAACACAAACAAACTGTAAGCAAACAGGCAATACCAGCCCAAATGGCAATAGGTATTCAATTAGTAATTACTATAGTAATATGAAATAGTAATAGACTTTATCTTCCAAGACTCTAGAATTCAAATGATGGCTAAAAGATATGAAATAAAGAGTTATCTGATACATAGGAGAAGGATTAAGACAGATACCAACAAAATATTAAAATGTATAGGCAACAAAGAGACATATTGTCAGTACTACGCTTTTCCCCATTGTAATGCGTCACTGTGATAACTGGGCCATCAGAAATGCTGAGCAAGAGAAAAAAAATGTTGCCTTCAATTTGTGGAAATAGAGGATACAACAGGAACAAATCCTATATTTATAGATGAAGAAAAATCAGACTGCTTATTTGAGGTATTAATAATGAAACTAAATATCCAATGTTTTGGACATATAATGCAAAGGCAAGGTTCAATGGGAAAAAAACTTGATGCTTAGGAAAATTAAAGACAATAAAAAGAGGCTGACATAAGATAATGTACCTAGATGTTATCTCTAATGATACAAATATGAATTTACAAAAACACAAGAAGCAGTTACTGAAAGCCAATCCTTGTAAAATGATATCTATCAGCCACAAAGAATTTGAAGCAACAGAATACTCAATGGTTTTTTGGTTAACAGCATTATATCCACATTATTTGTTTACATAGTTGCTTCCCTTTGGATTAGGTCTTAAAAAAGGGAAAATCCAATTTCCCAAATCTTTACAAATCTTTACTTCATAAATGAAGTTGATTTTCAGCTTTTCTTTGGTTCACAAACATAAAACAAGGCATTCTATTATAGAATGGTCAATACAATGTGTTGCTAAAATCATTTACCTGCTCAGCAGATACAGGATACAATTGCTACTAGATTTTCCTAAAGAAAAATTGAAAGTCAAAGTGAGGTGCAATGGTTCTGTCATGCAAGCTCACTGAGTGACTTTTTAAACAGCCACACTTTTACTCAGTCTAGAATTATTTAGGTTCTAATTGTGGGCAAAGGATTAAAAGAGAGACCTGGGAATTGCATATACAAGGATTCAGTGTACCTAGATCTCCCTCCTGGGGAGGTAGTTTATAACAAAACACCTGAATTTAAGGAATGTAATCTAGCCTGTCTGGTTTAGGTCCAGGAAACTGCCTTCCAACCTTGTTCTGGTATCTTGAGATCCTCTGAGACGCTCTCTGATTTTCAAGGTAGCTCACTTTGATTTTTCTTCTAATTTATCTCTCTGAGATCTCTGAAAGAATTGCATTAATTGCATTAATGGGTGGAAGTAACATGCACTGTAGGTCTTCCTCAGGGTTCATCTGTTTTGCCTATTCCACCACATAATATCACTCCTCAGGTATTAGCTAGCTCTCATTTGTTTCATATGGGTATACTTCCCCAATTTTAACTCATATTTTGTCATTCTGACTACTCTGGATATTTATGATTTTTACAACTGTCATAAACATACCATGGAACATAGCATTGGACAAATCATCAGGAAGATTGGTGGCAGTTGTAGAAATCACTGAGAAGATCAAGAGGGGAGGAAGATGGGCTGGTAGGAAGATGCTGAAAAGAGCAGGTAGGCAGATTGCTAATATTGGCAACTGGAGTGAGAAGACATTGGTAAAACAGTGGCCTGAAGGAGGGGAATTGGAAGATCTAGGTGGCAGCATGAGAAAGCATTAATAAGATTATGGATATATCCAAACCAGTTGTTACTAATTGATATCATTTCTATATCCTTTACTTCTCTGAATTCAATCCTGATTCCTTTGAGCAGGCATAGGATTTAGTGGTTTAGATTATCCTTTTCAACTCTATTGCATCAATGAAAAATACGCCTCCTTGTTGAAAATGCACTGAGGAACTCAGTGTCCACCTTCAAATACCTTAGAGCAAGAATCTTGTACAACATACCCAGCACTCTCAAATTATTAGAAACCAAGCTGTTAACACAATTTCTCTATGGCAGGGGTCAGCAACCTGTGGCTCCAGAGCAGCATGCAGCTCTTTGGGCCCTCTGCTGTGGTTCCCTGTCAGGTGATCCCACCACTGGCTGGCCCCACCCCTTGCCCTCCCCTCCCAGTCACTCCTCACCTGGCCTGAGAAAGTAAGGGCGATGGCGGGGGATAGAGAAACAGCCAGGGTAGAGACAGAGAGATACAGAGAGAGGGGGAGAGAGAGAGACATAGAGAGATACATTGAGAGAGGGAGGGGGAGCGGGAAGGAGGGGGGGAGAGAGAGATGTCAAAAGGATTTTGTGGTTCCCGGAGTTTTTTAACAACTGGTTCTCTGCCCTAATGACCAGCTGAGTAGGCGTGGCTAGGGTCATGTGACTGGTGGAAGTGAGTGACATTGAGTTGGCCACGCCCACCCAGGTTTTGTGGCTCCCGGTGTTTTCTTTTCTGTGGGAAACGAGTCCAAATGGCTCTTTGAGTATTTAAGGTTGCAGACCCCTGCTCTATGGTATCCAGCTGGGGACCTTTTCTAATTGTGTATTGGTAGAACTAGAACCATGCAAATTTCTAAGAGTAGCTCTTCAAGTCCTTTCAGTGCAGCCTTGTAATTGAAAGTAGGCTAAACAAAAGTGGAGACTAGAGTATGAGAAGACATCCTCAATTGTTCGCTAAAATTATTTTTTCTTTTCCCTGGCCTTGCCACAGTAAATATGAGCTACGACTTTCAAGTCACATAGAAATAGGCAGGGACAGCTAAAATCTCATCTACGAGTTTCTCTCCAGGTCTCCTACTCAGCATGGAGATTGAGCAGGCAAAGCATTTATTATTAAACAGCAAATAACAGCTACAGCGTGTCAGTCAGATCTAGCCAGGGCTCCAAACTTTCTTTGCAGTAAATCCAACAAATATTCTGCTTTCTCCATGGCTTACTCAACTAAATTGGAAATCCTGAAGCACAGAAATGCCTTTACTATGGCACAATGTCACATCCTCCCCTCAACTATGCTCAAAGGCTGATATAGTAAGGCTCCACACTGGGAGCAACGATACCCCTGCAGCTCTGGAACTAGAGAAATAACAGAGAATGTTATAGTACAAGCTTCTTGAGTGCTTGTCCTATAGAGACACTTGCACTAGTCTTATCTTACCACTAAATATCCAGGACACTTTTATGTTACCCTGTTGTTTGAGATGCTACCCTTGCATACCACATTACCATTTCTGTACAGCAGTGTTCAAAATTGGTTGGATGCTGATTTTGGCTTGTGTCTGAAACTCAGCCCTATAAAATAGTTTTACAGGTACCTAGTTTGTCGTAGTGGGATTCTTTGTAACTTGATAGTCTTCCCCATACTAACTCTCTATATTCCATTACACCATCTAACACTTCCACCCTCCTTTTTAGATTCTCATTTTTTATATCTTTTTATCACACACACATACACACTGTCTCATCTTTTATAACTTTTAGGTTTTTATTTTTCATATTTAAAAAGAATCTCACTCTCATTCTATCTTATCTGTCTGTCTGTCTGTCATCTATCTATCATCTACTGCAGTGTACACCCACCTCCTGATACTGCCTTGTGCTCAAAATAAAGATTGGTATGGTATGGTTTGGTATAGTGTGGTGTGTGGTGTAGTATGGCATGGCATGGCATGGCATAGTACAGTACGGTATGGTACGGTATGGTATGGTACAATACGGTAGGGTATGGTATGGTATGATGTGTACCAGTGGTGGAAATCAAATTATTTTATTACCGATTCTGTGGGCATGGCTTGGTGGGTGTAGAAGGGGAAGGATACTGCAAAATCTCCATTCCCACCCCACTCCAGGGAAAGGATACTGCAAAATCTCCATTCCCTCCCCGCTCCTGAGGGAAGGATATTGCAAAATCACCATTCCCACCCCATTCTGGGGCCAGCCAGAGATGGTATTTGCCAGTTCTCCGGACTACTCAAAATTTCTGCTACTGGTACTCCAGAACCTGTCAGAACCTGCTGAATAGCACCCCTGATGGGTACTATGCTTTTGACTTTAGTCAATTAAAACTGGTATTTGTTTATGTATGTTAACTTTATACACTTTTGATGTACTCTATACTTGGGTGAGGATTACATATTGTTCCTCAGTGGTAGTAGCTGTCATATTATCTGCAATGATTTCCATGTCTTATACTCTCAAGGTACTTTTGTTGGAGTAATTCAATTGTTGGTTTCATGTCAAAAGGTAATCTACTGAAATTATATGTTGTTTAATATGCAGAATTCTGCCAACTTTTTCTTCAGCTCTTCTTGTTATTAACTATCCTTTCAATAGAAATGAGTGATTTTTTTTTCTTACCTGAATCAGGATTTTTACAATGTCATAATATCTTGTTGAGGTGCATAGGGCCTAATAAATACAAAATGATCTGTCCTTTTTCTGGATAATTACATGGTTATTTTTCCATGGACTTAACAAGAACTTTCCTGATATTTCTCTCACTTTCTCCAAATAATCTATAGTTGTCTTCAACTGAGTACCACAATATATCAGAAATTTATTTAGTTATGCATTATTTGAGATATCTCAGGTACACATGAATATGGCTGTCAAGAAAACATTAAAATTAAGTCCTTCAAATACTTCTAGATGTATCCTCTGATGATGTTTTTTAGTCTTTAGGTTGTAAAATGCTATTTCATGGATCACATGGATATGATGAAGGATAACATAAAGTGCTTTACACAACAGGGGAGCTTTTAATACTTTATGGTACAAAGACCTTCTTTGACCTTCTTTGTCAGTTATTTTGAAAATATTCTTTATTGCTGCCTTTGGCCTAATCCTGGCCTTGAGTATTCAAGAGTATACTTTTTGTAAAAACTTTTTGAACATGTAATGGTAAGGAAGGATAATATAGTTTGCATCACAGTTAAGTGTGAAAGATAAAATTAAGATTACAACACAACAGCAAAAAAAAATAACAGAGCAGATTTTTGTTCTGTATCCCAATATTGTGTCACTGCAATAACAAAAAATAAAAATAAAAATCTACATCCTTTTTCCAGCTCAAACTTACACATTTCTTCAAGATTTTGCAAAATCATTTTGCACTCCAAACTTAGGTTGTATCAAAACTGGACCTTGTTTTACCTTGGGATTATGTTGACAACTTTTGCTGAGAGTCGATATGTACTACTAAATACTTTGTCAGGGATTTCTAGGTCTTTTACACTTTTAACAATTGTGCAAATTGTTGTAAATCTCTAAAGTCCAATATATTTCAGCAGTTTGAAAATCTTCTGGGTTTTTTTTTTATTTGTACTTGGCCATTGTGAAATATATGAGGAATTTTCAGCTTTCTCTAAACCAGGGAGCATCTTCTCTAGTTCTAAGTTGTTACTCAAGTGCAGTTCTGAAGAATGGTATTAATTTTGCACTAGGCTGTTTCTGACAAAAAAAAAAACAACAACAACACCCCCCAAACATTATCAAATAACTGTTTTTAATTTACCAAAAATATACCCCAACTGAAAGTGTGCTATTATCTAGGATGTAGGATAACATGGTAAGTTTAGTTCATCTAAGATCCAAACCTACATGTCTCTCCATCTACAATGGATGAATCACTCTCAAGAGTTGGTGAACTCAAATGTTTTTCTAATATGTAGCATCAATTATCAAAGTTTATTTAGTCTGCAACTGATTATAGTGGGCTTTGCTTACCACTTATAAAAACAAGAGAATGATAAATTGTTCAAGGATCCCTGTAAAGTAATATCCTTGCCCCCTTCCATCCCACCCTCCCTCCCTCCCTCTCCCTCCCTCCCTTCCTTCCTTCCTTAATACAGGTTTTAAAAAACATAATCCAAATAATGTAATGTAGGTTTAATGTGACATAAAATTCATAAAACTAAAATATATTAACTTT